TCATTGAGAGTATGAAGAGAGATAAGCGTGCATTTCATGTGAAGGAAAAAGCATTTATGTAAATACGCATACTTCAAGATCGACACGTGATAGCGGCTGCGTTGTGGTCTTATAATGTACCAACTGACGCAGACGCTCTAGATATGCCCGTTGCTTGTTAGAATCAACTGCAATGATGCAAGAGAAGGTTAGAGTTAGTAAACAAAAGAGGAAATCACGAAAACTGTTGGAAAATACGGTTGTTAAGGGAAAGAAGTCTGAGAAGGTTGACAAAACAAGGACACGGACCTTTGCCTTCGCATATAGAAGTATACGTGAAGGCTTATGTTTCAAATCTTCACTCTCTAAATAAACAGATGTAAACAGAAGTGAATTTTGTATTTCATTGTTATATATATGGGAAAAGCATTAAGAGAGAACTTTCACTAAAGTTTTCCCATCATTTAATTCAGTACATTGTTATATGCATTCAAGCATAGGGTAATATTTACTTAGTCCAATTGCAAAACGCTTTGTCACGAAAAGGTTCTTTCCTTTGTTAATTAACTATTCGATTACATTAGAAGATTCTCTTCTTGAAATTATTTCTTTCAGTATACACAAAAGTAGGCAATTAGCATTCATCGAAGACCATTTTCATGAGGAAACTCCTCTCGATTCTCACACATTTATGTGGTATCGGTAACTATAGAAATCAATTTGTTTATTCGTCACTTTGAACAAGTTCAGTTTCAACCGTTTCGCTACTCGATCTTCAAGCTTTCATATAATGATAGCAGTGTACTCATTTCTGAAATTTTGAAGAAATCTTCAAATGTTTTCCTAATTGACAATTAGAACCCTTGAAAATGCTTCTATACATACGAAGTTTTAAGTCTTCAAGTGTCGTATTGTCACGAATTTCATTAGTTTTGGGACACACATAACTAATAGCCGTTTCCGGATCAAAAATATTTGCTAATTTCTCGTAGACGGCTTGTTTTTCTTTGGATAATTCTTCCTAGAAGTGTATCAATAAGTCATTTTCTGCCTAAATATTGACATTGCATTACCTCAATAGTAGATTCAATAACATGCTCCAACATTTTTTGCTTATTCTTTTAATTTCTCGATCAAACATGTTATTCGAGAAGGCCTCTGAAAAATCATTTAATCATTTCTCTCAATTGTTTCTATAGAAACCTTTCAAGTTCATTGCTAATGAATTTACGCGAAATTTCGATTGAATGCACAAATTAATACAAGTGTAAACACTTTGAAAAACGAAATGTATATCGTTTTCATCAGGATGATACAGTGACATCTTTTTGGCTGAACAAATTAACACCGCAGATAAAAGGTGCAGCAATAAGAAGCAATATGATCGCATTCATTCTGAACGAAATTTTCTTGCTGATGTGTGTTATTAGAATTTATAACTGACTTTTCGTATCAAAAGAATGTCTTTTCTTTCAGTTCGATTATACACAATTCGAGTCTAAGGATGCAATAAATTTTGATATAGTATCCCTAGGAAATGATTCTTTCCACAATGATTGAAAACAAAAATTGTATTAATTTATTGAAATTACATAGATAATCACTTTTTTTCGTTTGTAAACTATATAAATGCAAGATGTTTCCTTCAACAGTTTATCAAGAGAAGAATTCGTTCAATTCATCAAATCTGTTGGACTTGTCTTTTGTTTCTACTTTATGAACATCGTATGAACATGATGCTTTACTAAAATATCGTTCACGACTCCTTATTCTCTATACTACAAGATAGGACTAAGCTCGACAAGACTAGGTAACTACTGCCATCTACAATCGATATGTCGACAGACTTGTAACGTATTGTTTACTACATATTTTTTGACATATGACCAATAGAAAAACGCTCACATGTTGCTTATTCGCTTGTCTATCTAACACTCACGTGTGTTAAATTAATCGATTCTTTATACAAAATAGATCGACGCTCTATCATTCGAGAAGCAAATGAACGGACGCGATCATTCGCATGAACAGAATGTATGTACCGATGAGAAAAGATCTCTCGAACCGATTGAAACTGTATTCTGAACTTTAGGAAGAAAAAAATATGCCAACATCATTGCAAAACCCGTCGCTAGTTGTCAATTCAATGTTGACGGCCTTAGCTCAAAGTTTACTTCCGTCGTCAACAAATCAACAAGTAAGAATTAAAAATAGATGAAGAAAACCTCGTTTCATCTTCGATGTTCTCTTAGCAACTTCTCGCTGATCTACAAGCAGCAGCTACCTTAGTAACTAAACAAAAGATATCACCAACAAATGGCAATACTCCTCTTGAATTAGCATCATCTACTCGTACAGATAATCACGATAATTTACCACATGTAACTCAAGCTAAACGACGTGCAACACACAATGCTGTAGAGCGACGACGCCGTGATCGTATAAATCAACATATTCAACAGCTATCAAAACTGATTCCGGATTGTAGTAATTATGTTAAGAATCAAGTAAATTGAATTGATTTGAAAATCTTCTTGTGAAAAAAGACATCGCGATCGTTTTGTTGCAGAGTAAAACAGCTGTATTAGAGAAAACAATTGCATATGTTCATGAACTTCGAACACAAAATCTTGCTCTAGTTAAACAAACAGTCGATGCTGGCATTATACTTCACGAGAATGATGCATTGCGAGATCGAGTTCGTTAGAGAAACATATTTATCAATCGAAATGTTGTTTATTTTTTTCTCGTTTAAAGATTCGAATCATTGAACAAGAAAATGGCGTTTTGAAATCTTTGTTAACCAAACAAAGTCTATTAGGCAGCAATGAATCTCCGTCGACAGCATGAAAAACACTTTTTTTTCTTATACGCGTGCAACAGTTAGATATATGCAACTGTACAGATTGGTTTTCGTTTTTTTCTTCATTTTTTAGTATTCACGTGTTTTCTAGCCTATTCTATGCTTCCCTTTCTTGTTTTCTTCTCTATCTGTAAATATTTTCCACATTTGTTTTGGCTTGATGACTGACTCTATTGTGTGTGTGTGTGTGTATGGTTTCCCGCTCGATGTCAACAGTAAAAAAAAACTAATATATAACTGTTTGGGAATTATGAATGGTAGAAATTGATTTATGAATTATTTATGACCGATTCAGATAATCATACGGTGATGTTTTTGCTACGACGAAATGTAACCGATTGATTGAACAGAACACCTCATTAACGATACGTAAAATTTCGAATTTTATTCGATAATATACTTTAAAAATGGCGTATACAGTCACGGTTAAGCATTTGTTTTGACGGGTAAAACCTCTTGATAGCTATTATTGTCAATCATTAATCCTTGCTCATCTGAAATCTATAAACTTATGTAAAACCAATCTGATTCAGATTTGTGATACAAGAAATTGAGATAATTCCATGATGAACAGGATTTTGCCATACTGATCAGTAAACCTGTTTAGTTGTCTTTGCTTTCTCTCTTTTTCATTCGTCTCTGTCGCTGAAGTGAAATTTGTCTATTTTATTTTCAAGGAGGTTGTAACTAAACGACGGCATGCAAGAAAAAGAAATATTTAATTGTTATGATGTCGACAGTCTTCTATTTTGATCAAAAATACCGAAGTAAATAAAAAAAAAGACTCATCAATTATGAATGTTCCACCATCAATGCCACCCTATTTCCAATGGATTATTGATAAACGTTTAGCCATATGTGCTCATCCATATCACGCATCACACATCCGCTATTTACTTGAACAACGTATTCAAACCGTGATTTCTATCAATGATAACTATAGTTCTGGCATGCCAAATCATACTCGTGGTGAATTACGTGTTCACAATATCTACGTTCCTGATGGAGCTGCACCAAATATGGCACAGTGTCAACAATTTGTTCGTAGCATGGATATCGCTCGACAACGCGGAGAGGTTTGTACTCATGACGGTTGTATCATTTCGTTCTACCATTCGAACTGTTTTGAATAGGGTGTGGTCGTCGAATGCACTCGTGGTAAAGGAGCAACTGGTGTACTAGTAGGTTGCTACCTTTTAGCCATCTGGCAAGCTCCACCTGACTATGTGGTTAACCATCTACGCCTTATTCGACCTATAACATTAGAAACAACCGCTCAAGAACAACAAATAATCGATTTTCATAAAGCGATCGCTCCTAACCAACGTCATTTCTACAATGATGTCAATGAGCCTGATAGTTGGGATGTCGATACAAGTTACTTGAAAACAACACCACTCGCGACTACTAATCAACTCTCATTGGCTTGAGATCTATATATAAAGACATATGGTTTTATACATATTCGAAAGAGTTCGCGATTTATACTACTTTGAAATAATTTATTTACCTAATAAATATAGTTTCTGACATACTTCTTTTTAATCATCATCTATTTTCAACATTCTCGGTGGAAATTAACTAATATTAAATCTAGCACATGAATGAGAATACTTGTGTAATATTCAATGACTGTCAAATAAAGATAGACATAATGATGTTTTTTAAGTAATCTTGTGAAGCTAATTATTGAACGACTTTCCCTATTCATTTATTCTGTTCTACTTACGAAATATAGAATGCCCTCATGAAAAGGGTGTATTACCAGGTTATAGGAAACTTCATTCATAATCGATGACAAGTCCTTTCCTACTCTGGATTGAAAATAGTGGAACTAATCTCATACGTTATCGATACACTAGTCATATTAAATGGAAATGAACGTCGTCTACAAGAATGGAGACATGCCATGATATTCAGTTTATAAATAATGTCGCCAGATGTCATTCTCGTTCACAAGATTACTTTTTCTGTCTTTGTCAGATATTCATTTACAGTATTCTCCAATCATAAACTATTCTTTGTCTCCTTCCGCGTCTACTAAATATCCAGTCCATCCTCACATCATATGATGATTATTTTTTAATTACTAAATTGTTTGCCAATCAAATAAAGTAGAGTCAGATGTCTTTGCTTGATCAAAATTGGGGTGCCAGTGGTAGTGCTGAAGACGAAGCACACGATGAGAATCAACAAGGTCGACAAGTAAAAGAAATTGAACATCGTCTTAGATTAATGAACAACAAGAGAATGCTTTGTTTTCGATTAAGGTTTTGACATCTCGTGATGGAACGTTAATGCTGATTGAATGTGCTCCACAAATGTTTGAACCTCTAGCTAATCAAATGAAACAGGACTCAGCTATGGATGACGACGATGAAGATGCACAACTGACAACCGGCTTTCAATTAGTTCTCCGTGCTTGTCAACGTTTCTATCAATCAAAAATCATATCCAATGACAAAGATCTCAGTGGCATCATTCTTTATGGCACGGAGAATAGTCTCAATGCATTCGATTTCAAACATATTTACATTCTTCATGAATTAGCACAGCCATCAGCTGAACGTATCATTCAATTAGAAACACTGTCAGATAAAAGCACTTACAAAACTAAATATGATGAATTGTTTGGTTCAACACAAGCAACAGGTTATTCACTAAATGAAGCTTTATGGACATGTTCAAATTTATTCTCCAATTCCCCGCAACGTTTGACAATTAAACGTATTTTTATATTTACGTGCAACGATCAACCACATGCATCGAATCTAACACTCGAACGGCAAGCAAAACAACGCGCTAAGGATTTAAACGATGTCGGAATTCAATTAGAAGTCTTTCCAATTTTAACTGAAACAATTCCACGATTCGATTTTAAAAAGTTCTTTCAAGATGTCGTGATGTTAAGTGATGAAGATTTAGAAATCCGAAACAATCAAGAACCAACTGGACGATTAAGCGAATTATTAAAATTTGTCTACTCGAAAGAACACAAGAAACGTGCTTATTGTACTGTGCCATTTACACTAGGCAAAGCAGCAGATGGCACGCCATTGGAATTCTCTGTATCGGTTTATAACATGGTATTGTAGAAAAGATTTTTCTTCTTGAATAGTTGATTCGATTTATTTTATTAACAAGAAATTTTCCGGATTAATTAGACTTTACGAGAAGAGAGATAAGGAAAAGATTATAAGGTCGATAGAAACATTCGAATATTAGATAGAAGGAATACATGTTACTTAAGACTTAGAAGCCTTTTCTAGGAATGAAAGTAAAGTGCTTTTGATCTGCACTCATTCTATACTGTGAGAAGAAAGAGAAACTGGTGTGAATGCTTAATTGAATGCATGAGACACAATTTGTGTACTGAAGGTTTATCTTTCGAAGCACCTGGTGCCTCTTCTTATCACTGAAATGCTTCTCTCACAGGCAAAACCGAAGAGCGATTACTTATAAAATCTTATCTGGTCTGAGAACTGCATCAAGACACCAAAGGACAGAAGCAAATCCGAATAAGTCAAAGCACTGGATTCGAAGTGACATATCATTAATAGACCGTAGATATTTATAATCTCCCTTGTTGTATATGACATTTGACAAATGTAACTTGTCACATGGTTCAAGAAGAACATGAGTTCTTTCAGAAAATCAAGTGATTTTTCTTAGAGAGAAAGGAAAAAGTAACGACTGTCACAATCGATCTCGATCGGATTAGGAACTAAACTCTTTCTTCATGCAAAATTGAACTCATTCGCCTTTCTTTTCCAAGGTTCGTCCTTGTCCGAAACCAACCAAAATCAAATTAGACATGAAAACTAACTTGGAAACGAAAATTGTTACTAAACACTATCTTCCTGAAACAGGTCTTCCATTCATTATCTCTACAGGCTAACGTCCAATGCTTTGCCTTTGTTTCTAGCGGAAATTCTCATGCCGTCAGATATTCAGTATGGTTTAGATGTGTCTAGTCGCCGTGTTTTATTTGATGCAGATGAAATCAAAGCAATCAAGAAATTTGCTGATCCCGGTTTCGAATTACTCGGCTTCAAAAGTCTTTCGTGTTTATTACCACATCATTATTGTAAACCCGGTCATTTCATATATCCCGATGAGAAATACGTCGAAGGAAGTTCGTGTTTATTCAATGCATTGTTAAAGAAATGCTTAGAAAAGAAAATGTTTATCTTATGTCAATTTTCTGCTCGCCGAAATACACCACCACGCCTTGGTAAATCATTTGAAATTCCATCGACTTCTATTTACACAGTTTTCTTCGTTTCCAGTTGCGTTGATAGCACAAGATGAAGAAATCAATAAAAAGATCAAAAATGATCGGATAGCATCGAACGGCTTTCACGTTCATTATCTGCCCTATGCTGACGACATGCGTACATTACCGAAAAACGATACAATACGTGCGTCTAATGATGAAGTTGAACTATTCAAAAGTGTGATACGTGGTTTGAAATTTAAATATCGTCCCGATAAATTCGAAAATCCTGCATTACAAACACTATGGAGAAGTATCGAAGCAACTGCTTTGAATAAAGGTGAACCCGATGAATTTGTTGATTTAACGGTTCCAAGTGTCGAAAATCAAAATCGTAAAGTAGCTGGATTTATCGACGAATTAAAACAAATGATTTTCCCACCTGGTTATGTGATGGGCTCAACAAAGAAATCAGCAACGAAACGAAAGGTTCGAATACATCTTCAATTTAATTTCTTAGATCTTTTCTCTCGAGACGTCAGAGTATAAGTCAACCTTGCCATTAACCAGAATGATAAGTACTAATATTGCCTCTGTCTTTTTGTTGATTTTTCTGACAAGTTCTCCATCTCTCGTTTATTGATATATAATATATTTGATTACTGTCGGAGAGATAAATGGAAGAATGTTGCATCTGTTATTTTTAACCTTCTCGGTTTCTTCAGGTGCTTCCCGATGTTTAATAATACTTCGATCAGTGACAAAGTGCACATACACAGCATTCTCTGCGAGTGTTTTTTTCCTCCCTTTTTTGTACTTAAACCGATCTGAAAGCTTATACGGACAAGTATTTACTTTAGCTAATAGTATTAATTTGATCGCATGATGAATGATATATATTTATCATCAGTCATAAAACACGATATCATGCTTATACTTTCTATCAACTTCGAGTGAGTTCTCGTGAGATGACACCGTACGGCATATGATTACCTACTTTTATAAACCTTGTTTATTGACTGTGTACAAGAGGATCGTAATCATAAAATTGCTATTTTTAAAATGTTTGACTCATAGATTGTTTGCCAAGATTTTTCTTTCATTACATTCGATAAAAAAAAAACAACAACCCTCGATTCGAAAGGTCGTGCTATAAATTCACAAGTCGTCTTTCTTCTTTCGTGTCGCTGTGTTCATTATTAATTGCAGTGTCCTCGATAAGAACAAGCATACCTAGTCGAGTTAAAGAGAAAACTATCTGATTAGTTTACAGACAATGGAGTTTTATTTTTAGAAACGTGAAGTGCATCTCGCATTCATTAACAATCGTTTCTATCATGAAATATCTTTAGGTTGACGCAGCTGCTTCACCCGGTGGTATGAAAAAATCAAAAGCTGATGAAGATGTTGATGTCGAAGCAGCAGCGAAAAGTAATTTGGTAAGAACAAACGATGAAATTCGATGTAAAGATATTATCAAAAAACTGATTTTCTTCTGTGTTTTTCCATTTAGTTAAGTAAACTAACTGTTCCAATGTTGAAAGATTACTGCAGAGATAAGAAATTAAAAGCATCAGGTACTAAAAAACAGGATTTAATCGATGCAATTCAATTACATCTCGGCATTGCTCAATAAACGAATCAGATAATGATCTCTGTCGAACACAATGTTCTTTTTCCATTCTCTTTCGTAGCTATATATGTAGGTATTTGTGTTGTTGTATGAACGCTTTTGTTAATTAGATCAAAAATAATAATGTTTGTTATGCTGATAAACACGTCTTATATATATATATATATATGCTCAGACATGCAAGCTTGCAATTCACCTATTTCTTCCTTTTCTGCTTTTCTCATTCTTTCTGAATATTAACGCGCACACCTACTTGATTGTCTTTTATGTCCTGTAGATAAAAGCACACATCACATACGTACGCATTACACTTCTGTCGTATGTCGAATGTCTCCTTACTATTTTTCTTCTCCTCTAGTCAAGCCCATTTTGTCGCAGTCTTCGTTTATGAATACGAAGAAGCGACTAAACCAGCAAATCATAGTGACTGACAGCGCAACATGTATACGTGCGAAGAAAAGAAAAAGAACAATTGGAATTTGATCTTTTCTTGATCACTTCCATCTGTTTTTTTATCCTATTGTCACGAGGTGTCTTATCTCGCACTGTATATACTTGTATGTCGAAGGGAGATTTTCTCATATTTATACTACACGCAGAGTCATGTTTGATTGTCTCAATTCAGATATAATTATGTCGAATAATACACAATCCAAGAAAGAATCAGCATTGATCGCAGAAAACGGCCCATGGGCAGCCGTTGGTGAACATCCTAATGCAATCACGAATCGGTATTTATATTCAAGAATGCGAAAAGAAAATTGAAATTCTAATTTCGTCTTTTTCATTCAGTTTTTACACGTATGAACGAGTTCAAGAAATTGTTGCATTCATTCAAAACATCGTTCCAGCTAAACCCGAAGTTGCCATTATCTGTGGCTCTGGTCTTGGTGGCCTGGCAGAGTTGGTCGTTGACAAAGTTGTTATACCATACGCTGATATTCCAAATTTTCCAAGATCAACAGGTAAAATCATCTTCGTAAGTATTGAAAAGACATTATCATGGATTGCTTTAGTTGCTGGCCATCGAAGCAATCTCGTCTTTGGCATCTTAAATGGAATTAGTGTTGTTTGCATGCAAGGTCGGTTTCATCCTTATGAAGGATACACCACAGCAGCGGTAAATATTTTCTTTTCATGTACAAAAGGTTAAACGCGTTGAATGATAACATATAGTTTACTAAAGAAATTCAATTGTTTTCCTTTCATTTTAGTGCGCTTTTCCTGTGCGAGTCATGCAAATGCTCGGAGCGCATACATTGATCGTTACATGGTGAAATTTTTCCTTGGGAAATGAGATTATTCGACTTTGAACGTTAACCTTTTAGTGCTGCTGGTGGTGTCAACAAATCCTATCGAGTTGGTGACATCATGTTAATTAAAGATCATATCAACTTTCCTAGCATGGCTGGTAACAATCCACTCATTGGCCATAACGATGAAAGGTATAGGCATTGAATAATTTTTTTCAGAGAAGACATTTATTACATTACTTTACTTTTAGATTTGGTAAGAAAATTAGTATTTGTTTAAATATGATAATCTTTTATCGAATGACATTGATGTTTTAAAGGACCGCGTTTTCCACCTGTTGGCCATGCATACGATCGTCAGTATGCTTCTCAGATGAAACAGGTTGCTGCTAAACACAATATTGAATTACGCGAAGGAGTTTATTGTGCATTAGGTAAGCCAAATAGATTCATCTGTTTATCCTCTTCAATCCACTGTTATTTCAGGTGGACCATGTTATGAAACCATAGCAGAAATCAACCTACTTAGGGTGCTCGGTATCGATGCAGTTGGTAAGTAGTAAACTATGTCTGTTTCTTTTTGCTTTGTTGAGTAAAAATCTATTTGACGCAATTTGAACGGAAATGAAGGAAGGAAATCTACCATCTCCTTCACTGAACCGGAATAAACTTTCTATACTAAATAAAGAAGTTTCACTTCCGAATTCTCTCCTCTTTTCTAGGCATGTCGATTGTGCATGAAGTTACGTTAGGTGCCCATTGTGGCCTTCGCATGCTAGGCTTGGCATTGATCACGAATAAATGCCTGTTCGAATATGATTCAACTATTGAAGCTGTTCATGAAGATGTCATTCGCATCAGTGAATTGAAAGCCAATGAATTACAACAACTCATATTAGATTTTGTGGGTGGCATTAAAACCAATAAAACATAAAAGACATGCGAAAATAAGAGAAACTTTTTAGCTATTGAACCTAATGGGATCTTCATATCAAAACTTTTTTTGACATCATTGTGTTGTATATCCGAAATTCAGATGATGTTCTATTGAATTCTCGAGTTTTTTTTTTCTTTTTTTTTGTTCACCGGTGGTGGTAGTTGAGTAATATTCTCTTTTTGTCTCTCTTAAAACGATCTGTTTTCTTTCTTTGAACAAACCATTTGTTTTATTGTCTCGACGTAGTGTTCTCATAGAATTCTGTATATTGAAAAAAAAAAGAATAACAAAGAAATCAATCAGACAATCTTGTTCTCTTTAGATAACTACCATGACTGAGGAGAAAGCAAATCTAATAAATGAACAACTAAGCAATGGTAGATGAAAATATCTTTTCAATGTTTAGAAGTATAGATTTGCTTTTAGTGAATTCATTAATACGCCGGAGATTAAATAACCTTTCGTCAGCAATCAGTAATCGTTTATGGTTAAACGCTCATACGAATTATGAATGTGATGTTCTATTAACATTTCCGACGCGAGTCGACGATTATGGTCTTGTTTGGTTTCTGGAACAATTACTTCAACTAGCTTCCGATATTCGTATATCGATCAAATATCATTTCACGACTGGTGAAGATATTTTCTTTTGTTTTGGTTCGAAAACACGTCAAGATGTCCTTTTGTTTTTGTTGAAATAGGTGTTTATGGATTTTATGTGACATTTACTTACAAAAGGTGAATATTTATCTACGAATTATCGGTCTCACAAGAGTAATCTTAACGAGTCAGAGTTTAACGAGCGTGTTTTAGCCTTCGGCACGCACCCCTTCGATGTCCAGGCACAGTTAATCGAGCATAAAATTCTACTTGATTACTAACAAAGAAGTGGATAGCACCGGTGAACCTTCCATGTTTCTCAATACCGAGATTAAAAGTAGGATATTTCTGGCTTGGATCTCGTTTGCGTGCGTTCGTTTGATTCACGAAGTAGGATAATCAGTTTACCCTTTCGGAACATAGAGCGTGATTGACTGATAGACATCTTTCGAACTAGAGAGATAATTAGAGTAGACGACAAATTTTCCGTTTAGACTTCTTCAAGGTGCTCATGAGATTCAATTGCAAAAGCCGATTAAACAAGAATTCGGTGGTGGCTATAAAATATTCATATTTGACGAACTCGAATTCTATGATGGTAAAATAGAATGACATTGATCATGCGACACAAGCGAGTTTTTCCTTATCATTTAGGCGTGGAAGACGAACAGCAATTTCTCACAACGCAAGAACGACAATCCATTGTTCGGCATCTTCTGTACTCGATCAGAATCATTCAAAATCAAGAAATTCTCGGAATTAAATTTAAAATAAATCATTCGCTGAGTAACAGACTAAAGATTTTCACGTAAAATCCTATTCAGAAGCCATTTCTCGTTTGTAGTACAACGTGCCTTGGAGAAAGGACTTATTCGTCAAGTGCTTCCATTGCATAATAAAGATACATTGAATCACCTTCGTGAAACATGGGTTTGGCCTCAAGCATTCTTCAAACGACAACCAATTGGTAAATATCATCTAACATTCCTTTCTTGCCTCATGAAACTTCTTCTCAACATTTCCAGAAGATATTCGGCAATATTTCGGTGTGAAAATTGCCTTCTATTTCTGTTGGATAAGGTACCTCTTTTTGGAAAAAAATCGTACAGATAAGATACAAAAAAAATGTTCCATTTCAGTTTCTACACAAAAGCACTCTGTCTTCCAGCATTTTACGGTATTCTTATTTGGTTTTTCACTGGTCGCAGTCAGGTTAGTTGGTTTTATTTCAAAGACATCGGCTAGGTTTTGTGTCGTACTTATCAAGTATTGATGAAAATATTTCACCCGGTGACATTTCTGTTGTCCGAATGACTGATTTCTCACGATGATGTTGAGTAAAATCAATACTAGTTTCATCATCTTCATCGTCGTCATTAAACTGAATGACACAATTGTCATTCCGAAATTCGACTTTGTCATGTAGAAGAGGCTTCACTTCTTCAACAGTTATCCGCGAACGTTCAAGTTCAGATATCCATACTCTAAGAAAAACATTATAGTTCGATAAGATATTCCATACGTCTACCTTGGCAATGTATATGTCAGCAGGAAAACATAGGCGACATAACTATAAGGCATTTGCGGATACGATGAAAAGAATAGATTCGTATACCACATGCTTCCACTCATCAGAAGTCCAATCGCTGATATGATAGATTCCAGTAGCTGTGCGACAGCGAACGGCTTAGTAAAGCGATAGATGTTCCAAGCAGTTAGAATCAAAGCAATTAAAAGAGATAATGTTGGGATTAATAAAGGCTGTTGAGCATGGATGCATAAGTTAATTTGTATTCGGTGAAAACATGTCTGGCGATGATAGTTTTGTTGTTGATGACGAATTCGCCACAGCCAAATGCTTGTCGATATGGTTTGTAAGATAAATACGATTACAAATAGGAATAAAGTCAAGTGAAACTTTTTGTTAAATGATTTATTTAACATTCGAAATAAACTTATTAGGAAAACGTTGGTTATCAATAATGTCGAGGAATATTGAATGAGAATCTGTTCATATCGACACGTTGTCTCATTCGGATTCAGATTGAATAGGAGTGGAGAGAGTAGAAGGATGATGATAGAAATATTCATTATATGACAGCGAAATACAGCGTACTGATCTTGAAAACGTATTTCTGTGAGATGAATTTTAACTGTAATGAGAAGAGTTATCAGTAAACCCATAGAAATAAATAGAAAGTCTTCAAAATGAATCCATTTCGATGTAATTGAACATGCTAAACTTTGATTTGAAACAAAATCAAGATATTGATAATCAGTGTTCGACCATGAAAGTACAGTTAATATAGTTTGATTGCTTTGCATATTAGTTGATCTCAAATAAACTGAACGCGAATAGGTAGAGTTGATCGAAACAGATAAAAGCGCGAAAGATGATTTATCAAAACGTCCATGTGCATTTTTGTTCTAGGAATTGGATGATAAACTGTTTGTGATCAATACTCTATTGAATATCATCTGGGCTACCGGTTTCCTTATATTATGGCGTCGACGGCAAGCCGAATTAGCTTATCAATGGAATACGCTCGACATGGAACAACTCGAAGATATTCGACCCACTTATAAAGGTCAATTACGTCATTCACCTGTGACAAATAAGTTAGAACCTCACTATCCATCATGGAAACGTTTACTCTTCCGCTTATTTGTCACTATCCCGATGATTATGATAAATATCATTCTTGTCTCGTGTCTGATTCTTTTGATCATTCGCTTTCAAAGTTGGATCGATCGACAGTTGAAAGCTGGTCAATTGCCACGTGAGATGAACTGAAAAGATTTTTTGAAAACCAAATCTTTTCCACATAGGTTTAATGTCTCTGACTGAATTGTTACCAAAGATCTTGTTGGCCTTAGTTACAACGGCATTCAGTGATATTTATAAACGTGTTTGTCGATGGTTAACTGAACGAGGTAATGAAAAGAAAAAGATTTACGGTGTCATTTCATAATCTTTTGGTTCGATTCAATAGAGAACTATCGCGAACAGCGTGTACATGATGATCAAATGATTGCGAAACTTTTTGCTGTAAGAAGTTCCATCTTTTTTCCGATAATCGCACTGATTGAACGATCATTTTTAGTGTTCATGCGTTAATTCGTACTTTAGTGTGTTTTACATTGCGTTTTTTACTCATAAATACATTCGACTATCTCATGTAAGTAGGTGAATAAATCTGATCGGTGAATGAGTCTCTTTTTGGGCACTTTTTAGCAATTGGTGACAATCTTCGTCATGAAGCAATTTTGGGGAAATATCAAGGTAAGCAATCGAAGGTCTGAACATGTGAAATTTGTTTCTTTTCAGGAAGCGATTGTCCCATATATAATCTCGAATGCTCGTCTGTCAGTATTGATTCAAATGAGTAAAAAAGAACGTGCTCGGTATGCTGAACGAAAAGATCTCAATAAAGAACTGAAACGTATTCTTGATGAATGGAATAACTCGAATATGACATACGCTGCTAATCGAACAGAAAATCATGAATATACAAGACAAGCTGTCGATGATACTCTTACAGATAATACTTTGAATCGTCGTGATTCGACCCCATCGTTCGAAACTCTTTCATTATCTCAGGCAGAAATTGAATGTTCACAACCGAAATGGCCTGATTTATATGATGATTATCTAGAGATGGTTGTTCAATTTGGTTATATTATATTTCTGTCAACATTATTTCCTTTAGCTGCATTCTTCTCCTTATTGAATAATATACTTGAGATTCGTACAGATGCATTTAAATTATGTATGATTTATCAACGACCGTTCTCACAACGAGTCAAAGATATTGGTCATTGGCAGGTAAAGATCGAAATGCTTGGAAATGCAATTGAACTGGATATTTATGACTTTTAGAAAATTATGGAATATATGATTGTGGCAGCCGTTATTATCAATTGTGTATTTTGTTCGATACGTGGTGTTTTTCGTCGATTAATGCCTGACCTTCCATTTGCTGCTGAAATCTTTCTCCTCGTTTGTATTGAGGTAAGTTTCGTTATCGTAAATCACATCTAATTCAGTTATCTTGGTTCGTCTAGCATCTATTGCTGTTACTCTGTCAAATCATTCGATCTAGTATCGACAGTGTGCCTTACTGGATACAGATTCAAAAGTCAAGAATGGAATATCGTCGTCGAGAGGCACTTCAGGTATAATTGTTAAGACTGAACAAGAGAGAATTGTTTTTCTCTTTGTTTAGAAACTCGAATGTGATGCTTTACATCGAAAAGAAAGTCGTAGTCATACACTTAATGAATAGTATTTCATCAAGAGCAAGCAACATTCATATATCTAGTCGTTTTTTTTTACAATAATCCCGCTATATTATTTTCTTGTTAATACTCAATATGTTTTCCCTCGAGTTAATGATGATTACACTAATGAACAAATAAACTGAATACCTGATGTCGTTTATTTCTCTTTCGGAAATAAATAGCAATGGAAACCTTTGCATGTTATAATCATCTCAGTCGCTGATTAATGATCCAGTGTCATACGAAGATCGTCTGATGTCAAAAAAACTACTTTCGAATGGTTCTTCGTTCATTAAATCTAATGTTATGTCTATATATTATTATTAGAAAAAATTCTCGTTTTATCGGATAGAAAATTGGTCGATTTCACAGAAAATTCGCAGGAATATCATCCGTTGCAAAATATTGATGTTCAATGTCATCTTCTGTAACACGCACTAGTCGCACACCTGATTTGTCTACGCCTAATTGAAGACCAATCGCACTAGTAACAATTTGTTCCATAGATTTATACGATCCTCCAGCATTGCGATGGTAGTGTCCACAGAAGATCTTTTTCACGCCAGACGAATGAAATTTTTCCAACATTTGCAATCGTGTATTGATTTCGATATTGAAGTAATCCTTGTCCTCATCGTATGTTCGTAAAAACCATGGTATGTGTTGAAAGATAATCGTATGTTTGGCTGAGTGATCTTTTAGAACTCGATCGAGCCATTGCTCATGTTGAGATTTTAGATCTTCGACATTTGCTGAATGAGCGTAAAATTGCGAATTCAACACGATACAATGCACACCAGAGCAGTAAAAGTCGAAATAATCGTCGCCGAAATTATCAACATAACGCTGAATACTTGAACGCGTTGGTTCATCGCCAACATCATGGTTTCCACAGACACATACTAATGGAATTGATGGATCCAATTCGGCGAGAACTTCTTTTATATCTTTTTCTTGACGTGTTCGAAACGGTTCTTCGACTAGAAATGAAATTCAGTAGGGAATATTCAGTTTTTCTCCGAATTCTTACAATCATATGCATCAACAATATCACCGCAAACAATGAAAAACTTCGGTTTCGGTTCCATTTCATTTAGCTTTTTGATAATTGCGCGAGTCGCTTCAATTTCGACATCCCAACTAAATGAACATCAAACTGAATGAAAAAGAAAAAGATGACTTTTACAATTACTTTATCGGCGCATCAGGGGTATACGTTTTTCTTATTTTGCCTGACCATTGGTACGTTAAACCCGGTTGGCAATCAGCACCTTGGACAAAGAAGAATGAACCTTTCCATTCCTTTTCTTTTTCTATAATAAACCTATCGAAATGCAATCGTAGATGTAATTTAGTTCACCAACCTGAGTCAAATGGCACGAACCGACGATTTATTGCTTGAATCTGGAAGGGTCGTTTATTCGTTTCAGCCATTTAGTATCGTTCAAAACTCAACCGAAAATTATCTAAAAATAATGTACTTAGGTGAAAGGGTGAGCAAGGCATCTATGTGCCCCGGCAGCGTTTGCCCCACTAATTTAAAATCGAAAACAAACTTGATAACTAAGCTTTATTTCGAATCGTCAATTACTTTCACCAGTGAGACTTATTTCTCGTATATACCTACTCAGATGTCACATGTATGCAATAAAGAAAATACAAAAGTACGAAATGTAGCATATGATCCTAGTTGAGAGTGCAAAGATATAAAATCTTATATGACTTTCACTTTTATGAAACGATCATAAAAAAGAGAGGATGAATGGCACCAGACAACGATGCTGACGAAGAAGCGTTGTGCTTTTGCATGATAATTAAACTAATAATCATAGAAAATGACTAGAAATGAGAAGAGAAATTATATATAATATGCTGAAATGATAAATCCGAGATGTGACTTTATTGATGCTTACATTATCGAGTTCACTTTAGACTCGACTATACGTCCGTTGGGATTGACACAACTCTATTCGTATAAATAATAGATCATTTACTAAAGCTATTTGCTAGGTCTGTTCGATATAATTATATCGTAAATAAAACATACGATGATCTGATTGTACTTGAGATAAGAGACAAAGATTTCATCTCGAATTCATTAAATAGGAAACAATGTCGAGAAAAGAAAATCTATTCTTCTATCATGGACACTGTTATGCATGGACATCGATGGTATTTCACATACATATCATCTATCTGTGAATACAAATAACATACGTACTGTTTTACATACATTCTCGCAAATTAGACATCCAATTGTAGATTTTCGTCAAATATAAACCGATATCATGCCATTTTGATTCATGAAAATCGCGTAGAAAATGCTGGAAAATAAAAAGTAAACTAACATTAATAAAAGATATGATAAAAGTAAGTGGAATAGGATTCGATTTATTAAAGCAAATCATCTTTTCGAAGATTTATTATATTGTTATCAACATGCTTTCTTAATTGTTGTAAATTAAGAAATGAATTCTATATTTATACAAGTAAAATGTTTACTCATGCATGACGTTTTTCCTTCCGACTTCCTGCTTTTCCATTCAAATGAATGAATAATAATGACAAGCCTATTAGTTTAATTAGAATTATCTAGATAGTTCTACGTGGAACTAACGAATAAAAGATACATGACCTTTCAACCTCGAAGACTTTTCCTCTTTTAAATAGCATAGCATGACTTTTAAATACTCAACAGCTGTATAACCATTGATAATAAAGACTACTATCAATTTTTCTGGATTATTTGTTTTTGTTTACTAATGGCCTTTGTTAAAAATAGATTTCAAGTTTTCTTTTGCTCTTATGTTGAACGTAGATAAGAAACAATCTGTAATCTTTTTTTTTTTAGATATAATACTCAATAAATCTTGGTTAATTACTGTTCACTTACTGTAAAAATCCATCTCCGGGTATGTAGAGATAATCTATCTATTTTTAGTAATTATGAACATGAAGATTTCTTAGAAAGCAGACATAGTCTACCTTGGACAAGTCCAATGCACTAATATATACTAAGTCTTATTAAAAGTTACTAAAAACAATGTTTTTTAATCTTCAGAAGCCAAACGATAGAAATCCGTTGGAGTAAAATTATGAGATAGCAGTGAAGAGATATTTTCATTTTCACATATAGTACGGCTCTGTGATTATCGTGAGTATTAACATAATGGCTTTTTCATAGAAAATATCACATGAGACATTGTTTATTATAATCGTTAAGAAAAGTACGTGCACTAATAGGTGAATTATAGGTTTGCCCTGGCTATATTCGTTGCATGTATGAATCATCATCATCATCATCACCTATTAATATTTCTCGTTTGAAAAACTAATTCGATATAGGAAAGACACTCTACTTATTAAAGCACACAGAATACACATTCATCAGATTTGTTTAAAACGCAAAAATTAATAGAACAGAAAAACAAGTTAGCTTTTTGTTTTGGCTAATCTATTTGAAGATCTCGTATATAGTATACTTCATCTTCGGATTTTTCTCGCGTATAATACATATTCAGAGATTTTGCTTTTAGTATTGGATTTTCTCGACAAAACCGCACAAAATCATTTAAAATGTGTGGTGGCGGTTGTCGAGTACGTGTCATTAGATTAATTCCACCACTGGAAAATAATGTCGAACTGCATATTGTTGCCACCCATTGATAAGGTCGATCCGATGCTGTTTGATTGTCGACAAATATAAAACCGAAATCATTTGCGAAGATTTTGTATATCCCATTGCCTCGCCATTGAAAACGACTCGCTTTACTTGGCAGTTGTGTGTCAATACCTTCATCACTTGTTGGACGATAACCAAAACAAGGTCTTTTACTATAGTATTCAACGAGATCATTCAGACGCACACGCCCATCGGACAATTGATCATGAATACTAAAAGTGATTGTTGGAGTTAGTTTGTCTTTCCATATGTTTAGATTTGTTGCCAAAATGTGCCAAAGGCCAGTCGCTCGATAAGGATCGAAATCATCGACGCTAGTTGCATCAATTTCTTCAGTTGTCATATTTCGTACAAAAATATCTTTGCTCTGTACAACTCGAACAGAAGAAGAAAAAAAAGAACGCGTATTGAATCTGTCACGCGTGAATGATACACTTATGATCGTACATAGACAAATATAGAGCCAAAGTTTTTTTCTTCTCGTTTTTTTCTCGTTCTGTCTTTTTTTGGGCAAAAAAAGACCAAAATACGAAAAAGTAATATATTGACGATTCATACGTCATGTCAATTATTGCATACCGATTATTGCATATTGACATCATTTGCAACATAACTTATCGGGCAGATAATCAGATCACGGTAGACAAAAATCTTGATTGAATATGAGAGTGAATAACCAATGATTCATGAGAAAACAAAGATATTTGTACAGAAAAATATGTTGTTTCCTTTGAAAGTACGCATCAAACCTGAATCATATAGAAATCCTTCCTATCTCATTAAAAGAGACTTTTGTCTTCTCAGGAGATTATTTTAGAGAACTTTACTCTGAAATCACTTTCACATTAGATAAAGCAGATCAACGGAAGCGTAATAACCCTAAAGAATAAAGTATACAATCTGCTGATACACTTAGAAGAATGAAAACGTTCCCGTATAATTGTTTCTATTTTCTCAACATGACCTTGCCAGTACTTGTAAATCTAAAGAGCTCAAAACGCCAATGTTTCTTGCCGTGAGGTCAGTGCCTCTCCTTATTAATATTCACAATGATATTTTTGGTGCTACATGAAGTGCTTGATGTATGTTATGTAGCATTATTTCAAAGGTTTTCATATGTCAAATTACTAAAAGACTTTATTTAGATATGATAAGATCATATTCCTGTTTACGTTATACGCTTGACTTTTTCGTGTACGAAAACATAGGCTTTGCCGAAAAGTACATGCGTAGGAATGAAAATTGATAAGCTGCTATTTATTTTGGTATTTGTATAGAATTCAAAAATAATTACATGATTTTTTTTCGCCAGCGTCGTTGAGGTTGAATTCCACCATTTTCTACATATTCTCACGGAACATATTGATAAGAAAATTATTTAAGAAACCTCTCTTCACTGTGCGCTCTGTATTTCAGTACGTGATTCCACTTCGAATACACTCTTTGATTAATAGCAACGGCATCGATATGTAAGTTAAGTCGCTGTTTATTCTCGTACGAACTATTTTTCAGACGATCATATATGGTAAACAATTAACAGAACTTTCAATTATTCAATTTGACTATATCAGAGCCTTAAGCGCTAAAACTGAGAGAAAAAAGTAGATTGTCAGCTCAGCTTGAGTAGACAAAGAACATTTTTTCGTTTTTAATAAAAGAAATCTCGTATGATTGATTAGTAGTTATGTTAAATATTGTTGAATTTCTCTATGAATACCGACAGAAGCACGCGAACGTGCGATACCGATCAATAAAACTCGAGAACCTAATGTACTTTAAAAATAGCGCATTTTCCCTAAGAAAGTAATTAACATGAAAAGGCTCGAGTGTACATCGAAAAAAAATAGAAGAAAGCCTTTTTAAAATGTTGGTTTCAATAGGGTAAGTTTTGTGTTTTACAAATGTTACATGTCCTATTTGTTAATGATGATATTACACTAATGTTGTCTCAAAAAAAAGGTTTTCTTGACATTTAGCTAAATAGAATATTCTAATTCTCCAACAAAAATTTACATACACGTAATGAGAAATTCTTATTAACTAATAGCACCTGCATTCATTGACTAGAAGGAGAAAATTACTTATAATTTTTCTTAATATTTCTTTCCCAACCTAGTTTCGGCATTATCTTATGAATATATTTATTGTAATCGGCGCAAAATTCTGTTGATCTTAATGTTTAAGAAGATGTCCTTACATTCATAGGCGTAGGTTGACAAAATGCTCTCAGGAAATTCATTTTGTTAATTAGATAAGTGAGTTTCATCGTCATAGATGATCGTATTTCACGATAGAACGCGAAGGAATCATTGTTCGAAATAAATATGATGGGCTTTGTGTTTGCCTATTACATCTGATATTGCATTAGTGTTCTTGAGAACTGTACGTTATTTTTTGCTCATTTTTGTCGCAATAGAAACATTGATACAAAAGAAATAAGAAAAGATTAGCAATATACATTGTAGTGAAGGGCATAGTCACCCGTAAGCATGAATGGATGCTTGTAATTTGATGCCATACGGCGAGAAAAAAAAAGTAAAATATAAGCAGTGAGAAAAGAGAATGAGAAAAAGTAAAGCGAAATAGAAACAGTATTTAATCTTGTTCCCATCAGAATACCCTAAGACGTATCTTTAACTGAAGTCGAACTATTTATTTTCCTTTTATAGATCGAGCCACTTTGAAATGGTAGGCCAACGTCATTTTCATACCAGCTCATGTATAATCGTTTCCTTTTCTTCATGACTTGAAAGAAATCTTCGATCATATTATATAGTATCATATTTGTTCCTTGATACAAATTTAATCCTCTCGCTAATTTCGTTTTTATCCGTAGCCAATTACGCACCTGTAAGTCTATTTATTCGAGAGTTTAGAAAAGAAGAATGAATAAAAGTACATGTGTTTGTACTACATTCATTCTGCACAATTGATTGGCGGTGTCCTTCGAAAGGGCGAGAAAAAAAACCCTAATCCTGCACGTTTCAGATCGCAGTACTGTTTCAGGAGAAGAAAGAAAAAAGCAAAATCAATATGTTAAGTCATTTTTCATATTCAATATTCTCTTCGGCCAAGAGATTAGGTATAAATAGAGCACCAGTTCGATTTTTAACTGACAGAATCTGCTATTTTATGATGACAAAGTAATGCGTAGGCTTACACATAGTTTTCCTTCATCTTATCTTATCAATTTTCACTTGATTTCGAGCAGGCAAGAACAAACATTCAGATTAACTCTGAATAGTACAGAGGTCAGTTAGATTTCAGTTGCGCTTCTTTTTTTACATATATAAATGCACTTGAAATAGTAAAGAAAGATAAAATGAAGCATAGAAGATGATAAAGCGACCTTCCTTTGTTCGAATCGTTTCTTCCAAATATAAGTGAAATCACAAGAAAAAACTTTTTGTTATCAAATGATAAAACCATTTGTTTCATGTTCTCAGAAAAGTTATGTAAGTAAAAAAATGCGACGAAATTTTGCAAGTTCAGTTAGTTTCACATACACGCGACTATCAGCAAACTCTAAAAGCTTCTTTTGTCTTCTGAAACAATTGTAAACAATAGGTAATTGAATTACTGTTCTTTTTTCTTTTCCTCACTCGCTCTCTTCCCTCTTGTTTTGATTTGGCAGAAGTACTTTTCTCTTGTACCTAAAAGGTAGAAAGCAAACCTGATGCGTCACCATCGATCATGATATTTCTGCATGATCATGGCTATTTTTACAACTCATCCAACTTTCGAACATTTTCCGATGTTCCCGTTCTATTTTCTCATATCAGATCACAATGTCTGTTTCGCATTCCCATATATAAATAAATAAATATACAAAGCACCTGTGTCAACGCACGTAGGCGTGTGTACAAGTTTCTTCTTGAAACTCGTTATGATAATGATGATAAAAGACAAATTTCCCATACATATGCGCCGGAATTTATTATCATTGTTCTTACTGAAACGGGATGCCTAGCTTTGCGGCGAGAACGGTTCGAGCGGATATTCATTGAGTTAGATCAATTCCCTTCCAGGCGCAGAACGTGAAGGGCAAAGATAAATGAGTCGAAGCGAAGAAAAAGGAGAAGAAAGCATAATTGATAAGGATGACTTTGTACAAAAAGAGTGAGAGGATAGCGTTATCTTGCATCGAAATCTATGTATTTAATCATGCGCAACCGATATAAAGAAAAAGCGCGAATAGGCTGTCACTTGAAAACATTTCAACTATGAATATAATCCATGTCCTATTTCGATGATGACTTAGAATTTGGACGCGCAAATTTCACTGTTTATTCCAAGTTTATGCTTCTTCTCCAAAGTTTACTGTTGACAATCTGCAATCTCATGTTCAAGTACTCCGAAAACCTTCAGTCGTTTGGTAAGCAAAAGAAAAAAATACGTCATTGTGAACGGTATCATTCAGTCACAAATCACAATCACCTTAACGATCAAGGCCAACGCGTTTTGTTTATATATTTTGTTTCTTTTTTTACGTATTTTCCCATATGGTTACTTTAATCAACTGGATCACACTTTCTGTATACTTTTTCTACTTGTTATTCCCGTCAATCATCGATTGTCACTGTTGAGATTTTGTTTTGTCGAGGCCATCATGTGTCGTCATTTCACTGGAGTATGCATACTAAGCAAAACCGTTCGTTGATGTTTACCTAGCTTCAGTAACGAGAATCGCAAAGTTCACTTTGTTTATACTTCTTATTGAAGCGATCGTATCTGAATGTCGAAAATAACTATATTCTATAGAATTTCGTCGATGAAATCCGTTCCCGGAAAACGCCCTCCTCTTTGGCGTGATGTGTCAAAAAGCGAAAAGTGCTTTTGTCTTGAGTCGGGCAAACAAACTTCGCTTGATGATTAGTTTCGTCAAGAGATATTCACTTTCTTTTTCTTTTAACTAAAAATATAACTTGATTTCGTTTGTTTTTGTTTTCATAAACCAGAACAATAAGCATTCCTCGAGGAAAGCATGACAGTAGAGTTTGTTTTCGATTTGCGTTGTACAGTAAGTCGCAAGAGATCGCGTTTTTCTTCGAATATGACACATCTATCTCAGATACATTTAAACTGAGGCCAAGAAAACTTAATTAGAAAAAGAACACTAACAAATGCTTCTTACTATTGTAAAAGTCATCACGCTTTTTTCTTTTTTTGGATATTTCTTCTAAAGAAAAGAAAAGTGAGTTAAGAAATAATTGAACTTCGCATATCATTTCACATAATTTATTAGCGAAGAGAATCTTTTTATTCATCGACATGTTTACATAACATTATTATTCATTAAAAAAAAAATCGAGAATTCTCAGAGACATTCCGAAACCCAATAAATATTCATCATTCAATAGCACCTTTCTTCTTCTTCTTCTTCATTCGTACAAGTTGACGAAACGGCTCTTTCTTCTCAGTTGAAAAGAAACATATTTTTAACTATTATCCAGTTTCGAATTCTAACCATAGATTAAGAGAAGATTACTGACAGGTAATTGTTCACACAGGTAAAAAGTTCCATTTTCTTATTATTAAAACAACTATCGCGACCCAGATTTATTCTTCTAGGACATAATTGAGTGTGTCAGGAAATTCTCTCAAATTTTCGGGTACAATTATCAGAAAGCATGATCTTTGTCTCCGTTTGTATCTGTTAACATCTGTCTAACAATCCCACTTACAACAAAAAGCTACCATTTTTCTTCTTTCGCGCGATGCACATAAAAAAGAATCTAATAGTGTTAAATACAGAACAAGAGAATTATTTTTTTCCAACTCAATGCACATATTTCACATAATTATCTGTCTTTCTATAAAAAGAGTGTATCTGCAGCGCTCGACTTGTTCTGCTAATCGCGGAAATTCATGGAAAGAAAAGTGAAAAAAACCGTCTCCGTCGTGATGAAGAAGGAGAACAGTCGACAAAGAAAAGAAACACGTGCAGAATTCCTTCTCTCCTTCTTTTTAAGGATTGTAATTTTGTCAAACAGATTGCGTCATACCTGTTGGTGTCGTTTATTCAATGTAAACTCAAGAAACATGTTCTGTTTCTGCGTCTACTAAAACATTCTTTCTCCTTCTTTTTCTCGCCATTCTTATTCTCTTTCTTACTCATTTTTTTCTTTTTTTTAAACATTTTTTAGACGGTCTGAAAGAAGGAAGCTGAAGACAAAGAGATTTTTTTCTTCTTCTTTTCATTTAGTGTAGAAATCTCGCTGTTTCCCATTTTTATTCTTTAATATCTCCTGACTTTGTCTCTCATTCTCTCTCATCCTTAACTGACTGGATTATTCTCTCTAAACGTATCATTGAAGACAGTACCTCTGTTGACATATCTTATTGCCTTACATTTATTTATATAAACATTAATCTTTTAAACAGATGATCATGAACACAAATGATAAGAGAATATACGAACATCTAAACATATTTTCCATTGATTATTATAAAAAACAACAGCAACAGCAGCAAACGCAACCCACTGAGACCAAAATGAATCTAACGTCAGATCACCACGGTAAACATAAAATACGTGACAATTAAGTCCGAGTTATTTTTATGCTTAACAGTTCATACTATTATTAACACTAATCAACTAATCTATCTCTTCTCAAACGTGTGCACATACACATATCTACCCCATATAAATATCAAATTTCCTCTGAACTTGACTATTATGTAAGAAGAACGCATTTGCAGAGAACTCGAATTCATCAATGTAATCTCTTCTTATTAGTCTCGTGTATTTGATCTACTCTGGAATCATTGATGCGTTTATATATCCCCGCTCTCTTTTCTTGTCTCCTTGAAAGTTCCTTTCGTGTTTTTTTTGTTCTGATTTTCTCTTTCTCACTCAATTTCTTCTATGAACACATTTTTTGATATGTACGGTAAAGAGGACAAAATTATTTAATCATATTGTTTACACACATGATTTTCTAATTTGATCAACTGAATCAGTTTCGACGAGAAATTCATTCGGACACCTTTTTCTTTTCCGAGAAGATATGACTATTTCATACCTATTGAAAGACGTGTTTTTCTTCTTATCATTTAGACAGCATTCCACAATCTCCAACTATTAAAGAAGAAAAAACTGAACATCATGTTAATAGCCAGTTAAGAATATCGTCAAATCCGCCAGATACACTCGACCAGCCGTTATTAATTGTTCTTGATGAGGACGATTCGAATTTGGGCGATGACTTTCAGTCAACTAATGTAATAACACCTGGAACAAAAGTGCAAGACGATCTATCTCAAGATGAAGGACAGAAAACACTTAGTTCAAATAGAAATTTACCCACAGGTATTCGTTTGTTTTGAAAAATGTCCTTTTCGTCATTTTTTTTCTTTTTCATCTTCTTACTAACGAAAGAAAAACGTCCACCTAGCTAAACAATATATTTTCCTTTTAGCTAAACAATCTTTAAATCAATTGAAACATTCGCGTAAACCTCCTTCCAATTCATTAGCCGATTCGAAACTTTTTCGTCAACCACGAAAGCCTCGACCATCTCCGCCGTTGAACGACGAGAAATTCATCCGTACTGTTGTCATTGATTCAACTTTTATGCGACAAACATATCAACAACAACGAACTAAACTTATCGCGCGTCGTAAACATATCAATACATATTCATCATCACTGAGGATGTCGAATACGAAAAGTTTGTCTGTTGATGAGCACTCTCATGTTTCACCATCATCAGACTCGATCTTATCAACCATTTCATTCGATAGTATATCCGATGTATTGACTGTGTCTCGAATGGGCTCGGTGTTCTATTGTGTCGAGGATCTTTATTCGAAAATCTTTGCAAGTTTATGTACATTAGACGAATTCAATACTTTATTAACTAAACCGGACAAAGTTGCAATTAAACAAGCCACTTTATCCGAAAAGATCTCCATTGAGAAACAACTACCATTATTAAAAAAAATCAGTGATATACGTTATCGTCTTCTCTCCATTACTTCTTCTGATTACTTACTTAAAATAAAACAATCCTTTTTAGCAATGAAAAATCTCGGTTAGTCGTCCTTGAAGTTCATTTTGCATATTATCAACCATGACTTTCTTCCTTCTTTCATCAGATGAAAACGAAAAACAGCATCGCGGGAAACGCATCGAACAAATCGTCGATGACTTGCGCAGCTACAAACGAACGCCAACACCTGTTCTTTCGAAAGACAATGGTAGGTCGTTCTTCTGTTCTTCCGATTTTTTATTTACTTATGCATGCATATATTTGTACTAAAAGACAACTTGCGCTTTTCTTTTTTAGTTTCACATTCACCAATGACGACGAAACGTCTCTCAACGGATGATGACGACGACGATGATGACGAAGATGACGATCACGAACATGATGAAGAACCTCGAAAGCGATTGAAAATCGTGACGAAAAAACAGAAACTAAATGAAACGCCACCGCTAGCTCCGACTCAATTCGGAATCTTTATCCAATGTAATGGACCGGTTAGTTGTAATATATTTTCGACGAATGAAACCGTTTCGTCAACTACCAATAATACCGAAACAACAACAGCGGCATCAGCAGGAACAACATCGATGCCCAAAACTGATTGTGACATACCGCCGAAGTCAAACTCGGCCAAGAAACCAAATGAAAATGAAAGCAAACAGGTCTACTTCGAAAAAGTGCAGCAATATAAACATGTATCAAGGTTTCATTTGAATAATGAACAAAGTTTTCAAAAGCCTTCTGTCCTGGATCGAGCAGAATCGGGAAGGTAAGAAAATATTTTTATGACATCCTTTGAAAGTCATTCGTAGATCTGGAAAATCCGCTTCTATTTATATTGTTTTTTAATTGCCAGCGACAAAAAAAGAATTATGTTTTGTCTTACTCCGTTGAGTCTATTTTGAAAGGACTCGGTCAGGAAAAAAAAGCACAACTCGAAAAGCATATTAGATAAAAAGGAATTATTGGAGCGAATTCATCAATTTGCTGTGGCGAACAAGTCATGGTGAATGTTATAATTGAGATTTTAAAAAAGAGTATTTTAAAAATGACAGTTTCTCAAAGCTCATTGTCAATTAAACTTCGTTTTTCTCGTACTTATATCAAATCAAATCTGGTAATATACGACTGAGAAGATATTTGTGTACATTTTTCTATCGTTGTGTGAGTAATTCTTTGTCTACATAATGCAGTGTAGAACCGATATGAAAAGTAAGTAATTCGTGAGAGAGTCAAAAAAGTAAAAGCATTAATTATCCTAGCAGACGATTGCCGTCGGGATAAATTCTGTAGGCACATTATTTATTACAGAAAACGTTGAGGAAAATAAGAATCTTCTTAATGACATTGCCTTTAGATGTCTTTCGTAGACTTTGGTCTGTTAATAAAAAAAAACGACCAGATATGTAGTGCGTAACGACAGATTCAATAATTTATTGATGGTGTCATTAAGAAAGTTAGACAACGAAGTTTTTATGTCGGTATGAAAGAAAAAGGCTTGCGAATAGTATCATTACTGTACGAAGGTCATCGTAATCCATGAATCTATCAATCATTTATGAATACAATGAACAAAAAGTTTTAATAGTTTCTTATTTTTAATTGAGAAGTCTTCCAATTCCAGAATAATAATTAGATTGTAAAGTTGTTTGAGTAAGGAATCTTAAAACATGCTCTCTAGTCATATATAGATGTTTCCTTACAAGACTTTCTGTTTTGCTTCGTTTAGTCCGTCTACAGATTTTCATCAATCGAATAAGTTATGTCCGTCATCTACAGTACTGAATATGCCTATAAAGCGGCGTATTCTCAATTCATACAATAGTGATACAAGTGATTCATCATCCACGACAGTAGTTCATACGTCAACATCATTAACAAATCCATCTCGTTGTTTATATCGTTCGAAATCGTTTAGTAATCATCAACAGCATATCTCGAATGATTCTCGTCGTTCGTCTAGTTTGCCACCAATAATCTATTCACATAAGGAACAATGTGTCGAACAAAGATTTCTTCCGACAGAGGAGAATCCCAAATCAATGATGAAATCCAAAGCTGAACCAATTGATTTGACAGACGAAAGTTACTCAATGCCAATGATTGTGAATGTCGAAGAAAATGTTGAATTAGCGAATCAACGACAGAAAATAAAAACTACAAGATCATCAATACCGAATAACACTAAACTATCGGAAATCCATCCGGCTTCAGGTTTAGAATCACACTCAACACCGGCATCACTTTCTCGTCCTGTATCTCATGAATCTAGTCCTCCGGTTTTAACAAAACCGACACCTACTCATCATACTACAGCGTCGTCTTATCGTACTCCACCTTTTGTCGTTTGTCACCATCAAGAATCGTATAGATGCCGTGATCCATCACACGCTATGCCGACTTCAACCTCGGCTGCTCATTCATACTCACATTCAACCAACGTTCCGCACAATAACAATCCCTATTCATATCCCTATTCACCTTCGACTCAGTATCCAGTTGTGAAAAAAACAAGAGACTCATCCGGCGTAGGCTACTACGAAGCAAGACCTCATTCGGTTGCGCCAATGCATCCATCATCGTTAACAACGCCGTCCTCCTCCTCCTCTTCCTCCTCATCATCATCAATGCCAATTAATAATCATCATTCTGGGTTACCATCATCTGTTGGTCTACCGATTGTTCGAAAACCGAATTATTATCAACAACTAACACCCGAACAACAAGCATCAATTAAAACGCAACCGTCAACACCGTGTCGCTTGCCTTGTTGTTATCAACCACCAGCAGTCCCACAACATCATTCAGCAACGCACCAGCCCACAGACAAGTCGCTTCAACACGAACGGTTGATGTACCGATCATATCCCAATACTGCCCCTATTGTCGTTCCTACACCAACACCGCATACATTCAAACGTGATCCTTCGCAAACACCAGATATTGACAGTCCATCGTCAATGATTAGTCGAAAGCAACGTCGAATCGACTCTGTACCATCTCATTCACATGCACTACCTCCACCATCGTCAACACCATATTTATCCTATCCAGCATCCAAAGGGTACTTTGCTCCACCAACACCACTATCCTCATCGTCACCATCATCAGGATCGCATTGGGCGCCGTCACTATCATCCCCGGTGTCCAATGCAAATATAAAACCATCTATTCGATATCCATACCCTTCACCATGCAATGCACCGATTAATGGAATGCCACGTAAAACAGAACCTTATCATCAACATCAACCTCAACATCAACAACATCATCCACATCCTCCTGCTTCTGTACCTGGACCTATTCAACCACGTCGTCCCATACCATTCCAATCTCGGCCAGCGTTAACAGCGCCAGTTATTGCTCAAAATTCGTCAGCATTAATCAGTCCGCCTAATACACCACATGAGTTAACATTGCCGAATGGTCGTACGCGAGGTATTGATTTACAACGTGCCATTGCCGAACGTGGTTACTGCGATGTGGATAAATTACCTAAGCTTGTTGTTCGACATACGAAAACATATTCAACTAAAACATGTGACTCAATGGGACAATTATTTCCCACGTGGTTTAACGAACCTGATTATCGATGCATCCATTGTTTTCGTTGTGATCAAGTTTTCACTCCACAACAGTTTATGACCCATGTTGATGATGAACACTTGCAGAATGAGCAACCATTCAGTATGACATCCATACAATTGTTAACGTCGGAGAAAATGTCCGAATACAAAGTCGGATTGTAAGTTCATTCATACTCTTTGGTCAACACCCTTGTATTTGCTCTTTCTCATTTAGATGGAATCAATTTTGTACAAATCTTACAATCTATGCAAAGTAAGATAACGAAACTGAATGAAACGATAGACTTTCTGTTTTCTTTGCTGATCACATTGATCGTTTGAGTAAAAACTACCGTCTCCATTGATTCTATTAAACCGCCAACTTAGTTTTATGAGAAAACAGGAGACTGCAATAAACCTAACTCAGGTATAGAATGAGTCGATACAATAAACTAGTGAATGTGCTCTTTCCACTGCTGCAAGTCTACAAAACTATATTGACCGATCAATTTATGCGTATTACTTTTTCTTTTATAGGGAGGGTCGAATCGGCGGGTTCTCGACGAACAGAAATGCATGACGAATTCGTCACTAATCCATTTCCCTGGAACATCAATCGTTCTTTGAAAATTCAATGTAATCATTTTTCAATACTCGCTTGGTGCTATTCTATGCATCATATTTGATTTCGTTGTCTTGTATTCTGTGTTGGAAGTACTTTGAGTTATTTGCTTATTTTGTTTAACTGTGATTTTCTTTTTATTGTTATTTTCGTGAATATATGTATATCGAAAACAAAAATCATACAGGAAATTATGGAATTTTTTGAGAGAGATTCAATGCAAAACATGTGTACGCATATAATTTATGTAATTGTATTCATGAACGTTTTGTTTGTGACAGAATCTCGCTTAACTGTGATACGTAATTTATTTTGTTTGGTTTAGTTACTAGTTGTTTCTTTTTTCAAATGAAATTCTATTGTAGTTCGCTTGTTTGCTGTTATTCCCTGTTGTTTGTAAGTTTGATTTCATATGATTTCTTTTCCAAAATTTATTCCGTGGAAAAAACGTTGATTTCATTTCAATTGTTCTCCCTCGGTGGCAAAGTCTTTTTGTAACATATTTCATATCAAGTCCAGAGATTTCTATCTTAAAATGCGAGGAAAATCGACGATATATATACGAGATTTCTCACAGTAGCTGCTATTTTTGCTAAATCAAACTTAAGAGCGTTACTGACAGATGATTAATCAAAAGCACATTTAATTAATCACGATGTACGTAGATTTAAACATCATTCACAAAAAAAACTAATTTATACCAGCAATAGTTATGCATTGATGAATGATACATTACCGATGACGACGTCAAAATAACTTTCTTTCAAAATCATATCTTTGATATTTCCTCATTAGAGCATATATTCATTTCAGAACACAATTCCCTTCTTCATTTTATTCTGTTAACTGGGCGGTGTCAGTTCTCGTTTTACTTTAATCGTTCTATACCCTCTGAACCGATTAAAATTAAATTCTACCCAGTCATTAAAATTTACCACTGATAGACTTACATAGTGCAGAGTAGCCTGCAAATGACACGATGATTTCACTCATTTTAACTTACAGTATTGAAAATAATTGTCTTAACGATACATTGAACGCTCGAGGCTTCGAGCATTCAGCATTAATAACACTTAATTTAGTCTGAAAACATAATTAACTTTTTCGGAGGTCAAGCTGATGTCCGTGACAAATTATTCATTTGAATTTACGCGTATAGTATTCAGTCCTTTGTGTCTATCTTATGATTAGAAACTCACAGTGGAGGAAAACCAAGATTATACACGAAGCGTTCGATTTATAAATGGTAGCTTCATTTACCTGAAATATCGTGCAAATCTTCAATTTACATTTGTATTATAAGATAATTCCAGATTAGAGAACAGACTTTAACTGTTAATTCATAATAGAGAAATAACATGAAGTGAGAAAATCTTCCGAGTACATAAGGAACATTTCAAAGGTTAATACATATCCACCACGCTAATGTAATACGACATGATAACTTCATGTCAAATTACTGTCAACATTTCATCAGTAGTTGCTGTTCTGCTTTGATTAGCATTAGAAAATTTCTTTCATAACAACTGTCATAAATGCTGATTATTTATACGATTGACACACTCCTTTGCGTACAAACTGTAATTACTAATGGATCATGAAGAAGCAAGATCGATTCCTCGCACTCGGTGTTATCATAGGATTGTTTAAGATTAAAGATCTATGGATACGTGCTATTCTGAAATAGTCGAACAAAATGAATAATATTCAGAAGTGCGTGTAAAAATGTTTCTCTGTGAGTATTTCGAAATGAAAATAACATCGAAGAGTATGATTTATTTCATCTTTTCACGTGTAAAATAAACAATATGTACTGAAACGTGATGTAATGAAGAAGAAACACAGCGTATATAACGAGACGTGCAAATGGGCGAATCATTTATTCAGAAACCGAACGAAATGTTGGCACTATATGAAAATGAAATTCAGGCAAATAGAAGAGTGACCATTCGATTTGAAAAGAAAATACAAACATATTATTGCTTCTATCATCGAACCGATGATCTACACTCTCATTTAATCTTGTCCTACGATCTCAATAAAAATCAATGGAATGTTGATACCATGGAATTCAAAACTACATTTGAAAAAGCAATAAACGATCTATTTAAATCTGAACGTATACCATTTGAAGAACAACTTCGATATGTAATTAACTATCTCGATACATATTTTCGTAAGTACGAAGGACATGTTTATTGACTGTATTATATCTACAGATTCATTTTAGATGATCTATCACAATCAGAGAAAATGACGCTTAACCTTGGTCTTCCACGTAATCTTTTTTATCATGATCTGCTTTTATACAATATGATGTCTTTTCTCTTATCAAGGTTCGTATTCTTTGCCGTGGTTTCGACGTTTACGCGACATTCGTCGTTGGTCTAGTCAAGACGTTCTTACTGAACAACCAGCTTGTAATTCAGTACAAAGTTCATTGTTCTCCTAATCAATTTGACTTGATTTAGTACTACAACGATATTCTGCACCGGAGAAACCATCTGAGGCAAAGATTGACGAACAAATCTTATCAGTCAAAGGCTTAAGTCGATCTTTTCATGCAGATAATGACTGTCGATATCGGACAAAGACATTTGCATCATCCCTTGAATATCCCAACGAATCCAATCAGACAAGGTTGGTAACGGTGGATTACGTGATAAAAATATTGTTTGATATCTTTTCTAGAATCTTAAGCAAGGCGCCAGCAATCAGTGAGATATGGTTAAATGTTTGCGTAGAAGGGTATATAACTGTAAAAATCAATCTTTTTTCATAGTCAGGAACTTTTATAGAATGGATGGCTCGAAAGAAAACATCGAAAAATATACGAGTGAAGAGAAATTGAAAAAATTAGCAGAAAAGTTCGTCACATATTTCGGCGGTACATTTCAATGCAATATCGGACAGAATGTGAGTAGACATCTGCTCAACGCAACATTACATCATGGATATTTTATTTACATTTCAGTATCAGCTTGAATATGATGGTCGTATGTGGAATTTTATCGTTCATAAATATGAATGTAGGCCATACATTAATATTATTTGATTAATAGTGTTCATTTTTTGTTTCCTGCATAGTTTGCACACACAAAACTGATCAAAATACAAAGGCACCAAAGAGTAAAATTATCTTTCTTATTCATGATATTCCACATTATGTCCGTGGTTGATTATTCCTATTGCTATGAATTTACAATCACGAGGAATAAATATACAAAGTTCGAAATACCTTCTAGAAAATATACGTCTCGTTTAGAGTGTAAACAATAACATCATCGTCGAGAGAAAAGATAATACAAATATGTTCGTTTATATTAGGTCCGTTGGGATGTGTTATAAAAACATTGAAAAATCTGCCAAAAGTTTTACATAAGATCTTACGAGAGTAATCAATGTATTAATTAAAATCTCTTTAAAATCGTTTTCTTCATTAATTGATGGATGAAAAAAATAATGAGGATCAAATTTTTTATTTATATCGTTAGGGTTAGTTGAACATATTTTCTTTGTGGTCGTTTTGCATCGCAAGTTTTTTTTTATGAATCTTTCATACGAACAACTCTCTTGAGGTAATTGGTTTTGAAACACTATCATCAATATGAAATTGAAACATTTTTAAGCTTGATATGTGTTGGAAAAAGATGATAAATTACCTATTAGCACTTCTTTTAAAACTCATTATAGTCCGATCTCGGGAACATGTTGGTTTTTACTTTTTATGTCTTTCGTTAGATATTCAAAGATTCATTGAAGTGCATTTGCATTGCTTTGGTTCATAACTTTTGAAGATGTAGAAACTTTTCGTAATATGACTTAGCTTCATTTGTATTATTCCACTTTCGTGAGTGGGTTAACGAATGATCGACGATGAGAAGAGATTCTCAAATCATTACAATCAAACATTGTATGTAATTTCAGTAATTGTGCACATATTAAAGGAAAGAAAAAGAAATATTTAATAATTGGACCACGCACATGCTTATGTCGTAATCATACTAAGGTTTTATTTCTTCTCTCTCTCTCTCTCAAACAAATTCAAATAACACTACAGAAATATCAAATAGTTTTGTTCGTCTCTTGTTGCATTGCTAGCAGAGTACACATTCTAGTATTATTATTAACGAAAGTATCCACATATACTTTCCAATAATTGAAACACTGTACTAAATGTTAAATCTCGATTGGCTGCATAAGTTCGAAACATATTTGCATGTGAAGGTGATGACACTAATGCAGACACGAGTTTTTCTCTTCTTTGATCATTAATATAATCTTCATCATCAGTTTTCAAATATGGATCAAGTGCCATATATCGAAGCGATGCATAACGCTGGATCAAGTTCTTCATATCAGATGGATGAAAATTTAAACGAGATGAAATTGTTAAAATGATTTGTTGTGTCGGAACAGTCGATGAAACTTGATTGAATAAATATTCACTTGCACGTTGCATGTGTTGATTTAATGGAACCCTGGAACTATTCTCATTATCAGTATATAATAAAATGTTTTCAAGCGCTTTATTATTTAGTGAAATGATTGCCGTTAATGGAGAATGATATTGAAATGGATCTACTGTCGTCGATGATAATACCATGAGACTGAAACGATGATTAGATGGTTCGATTAATGCTAGAAATATTTCGAGAAACGTTTGTATCGAAGATATGTATTGACGTTGAGAATCAATAAGAAGAAGAATGTCATAGTTTGCAGTATGACAAGATATTCTATACTTGTTACAAACTGGAGGAACTAAATCCGACTGATTGGTATATGATATCCATTGTCGAGGCGTACGTAAGGAATAGTCATTCATGTCATAATTACCCTCGCTTTCCCATAGCACGTCTATACCCGGAGTGTTTGAACAATGTGGAATACTCATCGGCATTTCGGTATATATTGTTCGATTGTTGTTGACATAATTATCATCAATCAATGGACCATTGGCATAGTCGCCTGCGTCTACGAACTCCGCTAGAAGAAAAAGTGCAACAATGAAAAGTGTGATTTCATGAAAGTCAACGTGATTGAAACATGCGCCGTTCCAACCTAGATTTATTTCGATCAAACTTACGTGCTAGGGTACTGGTAGTGGTTAACGCCAGTCTTTGTCGAACAGTCATTGTCGACGGCAGTAGTGGATCCACATTAATAATCACCCAACGACCAGTTTGTATTTTCTGCGCATATATATTCCGATCACCCAATGACCGATAGACAGGTGCAAAAAAGCATCGGTCAGTTGTTTGATAAAATGTATAATCGAATTTTTCTTTTAAACTCGAGCTTATATCTTGATTGTCTGATAATGTCAATAGTGGACATTCAACTGTGAAGCGGTCCGCTTCTATGATATTAGAAGTATGATTTTGAATTAGAAGTAGTTCGTCAATGGTTTGACATAAGCGATCGTAATGATCGAAGAGTTGATTTCCATGTACAGCATCACCAAACTTCTCGTAGGTTTCAATATAATTATATGTTGCTGGTGGCGAAACTAAAGCATATTTAGCACTATGAACAAATGCTGAGTGTATATATTCAGCTACTTTCCTATCGGATAGTTTATTAAAATCAACTACCATGATTCGTAATGGCACCGATGCAACAAATTGTGCTAGACGTCTATCACGTTGTTTATAATCATAGAGATCTTTTGAACGTGATGTCAACATGATAAGAACATGGTTTCTTCTATCGTGTTTTGTTTTGATTGAGCGCTTGTCTCGATACGGTTCTGTTGTTATATTAAGAATTGTCAGTATTGCGAGGTCATCTGAATAGATTAATGGATATGGTTCCGTATAGACTTCATCGTCAGTTGTCTCATTCGCTGATGATTGGTATTGATCAGTAGAATTGATTACATTCATTGGTAGCAAGAGACGACGCTTGAAGATTCGTGTTGCAACATTATGTATAGCTTCTGCCCATCGAACAGTGAAACGCTTTGGCGTTTCTAGTCGTTTATTGAGCGCATCAATCGAGTCAAACAATTGTTCAAGACTTTTCGATGATGTCTGATTGTCAAATGTGTGCATCAAATGAAATGTATCACGATAATAACTTAGAGCAATTTGTGTTTGATTATAGAGTAACCAGATAAGAGATTTAGCCAATAATTTCATTTGATGAAATTCCTGGTCGGTTGTTGTTTCAGTTAAATCAAAGAGAAAAGCTAATTGACGCGTTTGACACGGTGAGGGTGGTGATGATGCATAGTAACATTTGAGATGAACATCTATGATAGTCAAAGATATTTACCTTATCTTTGATTAATTGTTTTCGAAAAATGTGCTAGGGACGCGTGATAACAGAATTATTTCATCAAATTGTCGAATGAAATATGAAGGACGTAGTGACATGAATTCTCAAATGAGCGATATTTTCTTGTAGTAGACTGTTTACCCTGACAATCATTGTAGATTGCATCTTACGAGGGATAGTATCGGAGCGTAGAGTAACTTATTCAACACTCTAGTTAACGTAATTAATATGGATTCATTCTTCATGACTTGAGGTACTCGAACTGTCAAAGATAAGATAGGAAAACTGACAGAAATAGACAGCTTAGCATAAGACACGAAGAGAATTTTCTCAAACCAAGCAGTAAGATATCATTTCTTCGAAAGCTCTGTCTATGGGATGCCTCGAAACTAGACAGTATATCATAAAATATGTCGCATAATTTTCTATAATGAAAAGCGCAGAAATAAAACTTTCGACTTGAACGTTTTATGTCTTACTTGGTGTGGGTTTGTATGTATAACTGTTATTTGTCTCATGAACAATCACCTGTTGCCACCGTTGTCCTCGCCGTTGTTTTCCAAGTGGATGTTGAAACATGCCTAATGACATTGAAAGTAGTGGTTTCATATTCCAGCCATCACACCATTCTCGACGCCCTATTTTATACGTTGAATTAGTGGTATCATAGAGAGACCACCAACGATTCGTCGATGATTGAAACTGGTACAGATTTGAGTACTTCATCGAGCGAAAAACTGGTTTATTTTGACAGATATAATCCGTTTTATAAAACAATTTCTCTTGAACATCATTGAACTGATAGGAAATGACACCCTGTGGCACATCGAATTCAGTTAATCGGCAGAGATCATCGTTTCCATAGACATCTATTCAATTAATTTTATTCATTTCGAAACAAAAAAGAAGAAACATTCGTCATTTATATTTTAGACTTACGATGAAGGAGAACAAAAATAAGAAGGACAATAACATTATGTAGCAACATCCTTAACGATAGCTAATCATCTAATGACTGTTAACATCTTTCTTTATTTTCCTGGTCTCCTTCATGTGACAGATATTGTTTACATATTCTGCATAACTCTTGTCACTTAGAATGACATCCATTCTCTAGATAAACGAAGTATTTATATATTTCATATTTATACAGAAGAAAACACACACAAACACACTCGTACACGCAATCTTTTCCTTGTTCAATTTCTTGTGATGAAACCAGTTCGAACTGTGGACGCAGAATGATCTGTTCCTCCTCCAGATGAATTTGTTTCCAAGTTTGTCAAAGCTTTGATCAATGTTAATTTATCTCGTTGCAGGATATAGATTTGTTGTTCGGCATCGTTCAAGTCCTAAATGAAACGAAAGAAATCGAATATAGAAATGTAGGACAGGATGTTTACTCGAGTCGTGTTATCAAGTTTTCGTTGTAAATCGTGAATAATCGAATCCTTTTCATGCACAAGATTTTCAAGTGCACGAATACGTTCTTCAAGCTGTCGACATTTCATCGTTGAAGAATCATCAATTGATGGTTGCTAGATAATAACGAAAGAAGAAGTAATAATAATGTAACACAAAAATAAGCTTTGGTCTACCCGACGAACAATAAATTCAGTAGGCTGGAAAATTGTTGTTGATGGGGTTGATGTTATTGCATAAGGATCTGCAGAAGAAATGTTTTTTTCTCGAACGACATGTACATAGATGTGTTTGAGAAGATAAGTTACCTGCTCGTGAAATTGTTAGTTTATCGAATGTATGTCTGGTATTCTCATCGAATGTCGGTCTGAAAAAAAGAAAACAACAAATAGTTTACGACCCTGTGGACAGAAAATATCTATACATACTGCACTCGGCTGACTGTAAATACAGTTTTCGGAGAACTCTACAAAGAAAAATAACATTAAAGTCTACTGACAATATGATCAGGATAATCATTTTCATACCGTTCGATTATGAACCATGGATTCACTAGGTTCGACACTAGTCAATGTAATGAATTGATTGTGTGGATTTGTATTGTCCTCTTCGTCATCGTTGTTGAAAGGAGTCTAAGTAAGAATCGGGTGAGAATCGTCATGATGCTCAAGAGAACTTACATCATTCAATGCATTCGCTGACAGAACATCGTCTGGTCGAATACCAGTTGCACGACGTTTATCTCTTGTATTCCTTTTACTTTTCGGATTAAGACGTACTACTGACTTATGTTGAGTAGTATTTGTGGTAATTGTTGTTGTTGTTGTTGAATCTGTAGTCGAAGATGATTGAACAACACGAACGGGCACAGCTTCGTTGGATCGACTACTTGAAGAAATAGTCGGCATGAGACGGTGATGAAAATGAAGAGCACGTGTATGATCTGCTTTGGGATTTGTTGTTGTCGGAAGAGCTGGAGTCTCACTTGACTCAAATGACGACGTTGTCGTCAGGAATGTAGAACGAGACATCTAAAATAAATAATGTATACATACAAAGAAAACAAATCACATAAAGGTGAAATAACAAATCAATTTTCGATGTACGAGCGCTCGTTGTCTCTTCTGATCTTATTATCGATCGAAAATAAAACATTAATCGAATCATTATGTGAAAAAGAAACTGTTCTTTTCTAATCAAAACTAATCGTTCAAATTTTCTTTATCAAGATCTGATTTATATATGTAGTTTGTTTATTTATATACAAACGAAGTCTGTCATTCTGCCTACTTCTCCGTACATCTTTCCTGTGGACAAAACTATCACATCTACGATATATTTCTACGGCTGTTACCAGTACTATGTACGCTGATTATTATAATCATGATAAGCATGAATTGAGTGTGCGTCGAGAGAGAGAGATAGTAAGAATAATATATTTACTAATCAACACGGAAGAAAACGTGGCGAGAGTTTTCGCGGAAAACTAAGAGAAACATCGAGAATAATAAACTCCTACTTCGAATTAGTCGTTTTTATTCGAGATTATTAACGAAAAACGATGCTATTATTGAAGATTTCGACATCGTTCTATAGGTACTTTAGACATATATGTATATCGCGATAGATACAAAAGAATATCTTATTTATTGCATATTATACGAGGAAAAACCGAAATAAAGAAGCAGAAAAATAGTCTGCCATGTAGAAATATGTTTTGTTATTCTCTATCCTTTCGCTTGCGCTGTATACTGTGATGATACATGAAGAGCAGAAAAACTATTAAAGACAGATTCCATGTTATTGTCATTCCTGCGAGAGTTGTCGTTACTATCTGCAATATCAACAACAATAACAGTAGTGTAATTGTCTATGAATAGAAATGGTATGGAAGACAAAAAAAAACAGTTTGAATCCTAATCAACAACGCTAAGGACAAAAAAGAGAAAGTCGCATCGCGCCGCTATAGTCGCTGATGTCAAGAGAATGAAAACTGAAAAATATATTGTCATCAGCTGATGATCGTCATGTCATTATTGTTTTTCATAATAGTAATCGACTATCGCAATGATAGTCAATCATATTTAGAAAACCGAAAATGCATACAAAATACAATTCGATACGTTGCTGTTGTATAATTCTCAGCATAAGAGAAGTGTATTCAATGATACTAGAAATAATTTTCTTCTTTTTTTTTAGCAAGACCAGTCATTTTCTTTGAATACGAGTTTTTAACATGAATTCTATTTTATACTTAAAAAGTTCGTTTACAACTCTAGAAAAACAGAAAACTTTCAGCAGATCATTTGACGAGTTTAGCTTTATAGTGATGACATTCCAATTGTGAATGCTAATTCAGTAATATTTTGTGCGATTGAATCATAATAGCAAACAAAGAATTCGTGTTCAATTGGTTGAAAACATTTTCTACCAACGATCCAAAATTGAAACAGATTTGCATCTTTTTTCTTCTTGTCATCCGGATCGGTGTTCAAAGCGAATTGACAACCGATTTCGGAATATTTCGGACGAGATTTTCTACTGAATAAGCCGTTCGCTTTTGTTTGTGTTAATTGAGAAAAATGTTTTTGTCGTATGTAGATGCATGTTTGTTGAATCGTTTCGAACAATAATCGATCAAGCAATGTTGTATGAGTGAGTTTATCCAAAGTAAAATAGGGCGCTATGAGTAAACCTCGGACGGACTGAAAATCTAAATAGTAAAATATGGTTGAATAAGCACCAGGATGTAATCGATAGGTTGAGAGATTCAATTGCAGATTTTTATGCGTTTGCGCATCATCGAGAGACAATGTGGAAGATCGAAATGATTGCCGACTACTTTTATATAATTCATCTTGTGATTCAGGTTGACTGACTAATTGTGTAACTCGAGCATCAGTTACAGATGGATCATGCTGGTGAGAAGATGCAATGGATGTCGTGTCGTAAATAGTAGAATCAGTTGTAGTAGGCTTAGTAGATTGATTAAAGCCTGAAAAGCAATTGAAGAAGGGAAATGACACATAATTTGCAATAGATTGACCTGTTCACATACCTCCTATTAATGGTAATGAAATAGTTCGTTTGAGTTGTTTTCTCAAAAATGCTGAAGGCGATGAGAGATGCCATGGTGATGCATTTACTAATAGTTTCGGAATGATTGAATATATATCACTCAAAGTTAACTTTATCTGTTGAATCATTCCATGATCAGGTGATATGCTAAAACAAAAAAAATATGAAAATAAAAACTGGAAGAATTATCTTCACTTTCATTTACTTGAAATCATGTCTTTCATATTCTGTTTCAATAATCACAGCTAGCGTTAATTCCCCATAAGTACAAACTACTAGAAAATATCGACATTTTGATTCAGAATTCGTCGGATAAATTTCCTTGAATAATAATAATTGTCCTATTTCGCAAGGTAACTGTGCTACATTCAAATGTCCATAGTGAAGAAGAAAACGATAGATATCACTTGTTAATTCATTCGATAAATGACTGATTAACAGATAAGTACGATGAAATAAAATGGAACCATTGAGAAAAAAAGATCGACGATAACGATTTATGATTTCATCATCTTCATTTGGACATTCATTGAAACGTTGACATTCTAGTTGGTTCAGTAAACAATCAATGTTTATTAGTAATTGTTGGTTGTTCAACATTAAGGTTGGACATGTTCCATTGTTACTGAATTGTGCAGGTAAAAATTCATCGATTAAACGAAGATTTTTCAGTACTGGAGATGAATTTGCTGATGATGACAGAAGATGATTTAATCGATAGAAAAATATATCAAAAAAGTATTGAATCGATTCTGTATACATGAACAATCCATCGTAAATCGAACCAAATAAGAAGTTTATCAAACGGATCATTTGTCGAGTATGTTGCTCAAGTAGACAAACATGTAGATTTTCGATCGGAGGATAAATAATTATCAGATAGTACACATTATCATCACTTGCAATACAGACGGGTACAAGTTGTTCGGATAATTTGATAGATACACTGAAATTACACAGAGATTGCTGATGTTATTGAAATTGTGTGTATTTACCTGCGTAGTAGACTGTCCTGTTCATTCATATCATGCATAACCTGTAATAGTGTCGGAAAAACGCATCCGACGGCAAAGAAGATATCTTTCTGTGAAGGATGTTGAAATAATAATTCAAAGCCTTCATTTGGCTTCTTTTGATAATAGAGTATCGAGTGTATGCATTCAATTTGTTCTGGTAGAGTCAGTTTTTTTTCTTCGACTGGTGACAAAATAGTCGGTGGTGGTAGCAATAAGGAAAATTTCGAATTGAAAATTTCAGGATGACGAACAGTGAGACGTACTTTGCGAGTGGAAGAATATTTCGATAAAATATCGTTGAGATTCAAGCAATCCACACGATTGCCATTGATTGCTAACAACCAATCGCCTACCTTAATTCGACGATGGCGTCGTTCGATCACTCCACGTACAATAACAGGTTGTTCACTAGCAGAAGACGATGATGCTGATAAATTCGTGTCAGGATATATGCCAAGTACGACTTCACATAGGCTCGTATGAATTGATGGGTCAAATGAAGATGCTGATCGACAGCGAATATGTACATGTTCAATAGTTGATAGATCTTGTCGGTATGATAATTGTGCAAAAGATGTTTCAAAATCAATGATATCATTGTTGATTGTTTGATCAGTCGAATAGGGAATTTGATATTCGAGCGAGTTTATACTAGATACATCAGTTAAAAGAGATCCTAAACGGTGAAATACACCTGATCTGGAGAGTACTGTTGGTTGAACATAAGTAGACATTTCGATCAAGTCGTTCGCTCAATGATTCAATCTCAATTTCTTCTTTCTCTCTGTACTACTCATCAATGTTACCGTTGTCTTGGTGACTACTAAGCTCGACAAATTATAGACAAAACAGATGTCACTATTGTCTTGGTCAGTGTCATGTTTCTTTCGTTATATGAATTAAGTATTCAAATTTGATCTTCTTTTCTTACACAAAATACATCTGGAATGACAAATACGTAACTGACTGCGTAATTATCGACTTGTCATATTAATTTTATTTATTCACAAGGTTTATGGCCAATGTAATTGATAACTATCGTTGATATGAACATTTTCAAAGAAATTATATTCAAACTGAAGTATATTACGACAGATAGACATCTAATGTAGTCACTTGTTGATCGTATCGTCTATTAATCTGTAATAAACGCAAAATAAAATAAAATTCTTTCGTGTTGAAGTGAACTCTAACCGATTTCTTCGATATTCATCATCTCGCTAAAGTAAAAGGATCGATATGTGATATTACTAGAAATGAAACTACTAATTCAATCATTGGCCATGGTATTCTTCTTTTTACCTTTCTTCTGAAAGTTTTAATGGAATAATTTTCCTTCGTTTGACCTAATGAATGATGCTCGCCTTCTTACAATAGTCTCAGGGTTGTGAACACATAACCTTCATTAAATATCAATACGAACGACGCGACGATATTTGAGACAATTTCTCATTCTTCTCTTCCTATTTGTTTTATTCAGACTTCGAATATTTTTTTGATCGATCATTTCTTCAAACGAACGGAAAACGTCCAAGGATACTTTAATGTTATGAAATCAACGTGTTATGTTTATATGTATGTTCAATGTCTTTCATGCTTGATTGAACATTTGTTATCTTAATGACAGACATATAAATTGGCGATCACTGCTTGTCTTTTTATCTGAGAATTCATTTCTATCTTATTTTTACCAGCCATCAGGAACGATGGCAAAATTTGATGCAGCCAAAGCGATCTTCGCGGGAGTTGATGCCAATCAAGATGGAAAGTATGGACTTTATTTTGCTTATATGAAATATTTTTGAAATGTTTGACTTAGAATCGATCGAGATGAATTTCAAAATTGGCTTTCAATCAGTGCCTTGACGTCTCCTTCATCGTCACAAGACACATCAATCAGTGGAATCGTGGTGAACAATGATTCAGACGGCAGAGCCAAACTAAGTGAATATGATGCGAGTTCACAAAATATTGCCGATTCGACTGCTGGTGGAAATAACAATAAGAATGTAAATACAGCTTCAGTAACAGTAGGAGCTAATGAACGAGCCAGTAAAGCAACAATTGAAACTAGTAGTGTGCAAGAAACAAATGAATATCTCACACGTATGGCAACGGGTGTCTACAATGATCCAAATCCAGAAATCATTCGACGAGCAGCACCCGAAGGACCTATAGTTTATCAACAAAAGATTTTTATTCGATTTTTACAACCACCACCCGTTCCACCACCAGGCGTAATTGAATTGAAACTGCATAAGAAACAATACAAACATATATCATATTTTAGCCACTGATTATCAAAGAAGTACGTCCACAACAGCCACCTCCACCCCCACCGTTAATCGTCCGACAACGTGCACCTCCGCTTCCAGCACCGCCTCCACTGATCTTGCGCGAGCGTCCACCAGAGATACCTGCATCTGTAGGTAGCGAAACAGGTAAATGAGCCAATACCAAACAGACTGTTCGGTGATCTTCATTAATTTCTAGTTGTACGTCATCTCAAGCCTTTACCTGCTCCACCACGATCTGTGGTTATCGAGCGTCTTCCACCACCACCACAGAAACCACGTAAACGAAATGAACTGCTACTTTCTGGACGAATAGCTGTTCATCTCTTCATTTTCAGGCGATATTATCATTGAACGATGGATTCCTTATGGACCGTTTGCCAAGCGCCGTACGGTAGTTCAACGTGCTCCCCCTCCGATTCCATATCCGCAACCACGTAATATCATCGTAGTTTATGACGATGTACAAACGCGTGTAGTTCGCCGATTTGAACGACTTGGTGTAATCCGAGAAGATCCTCAGGCTTATGTTGCTCGTTATGGGGCAAGTCTTTTAGATGCCAGTCAACTTATTCAGCAAGCACGCAATGCTGGTGTTGTTGAAGATTTAGTAATTTTTAAAATACTAAAAAACTCTTGTAGCTAATCACTGGAACTTCTAACTGTTTTAGTCTCCTCCAGCAGCAGCAGCATCTTCGGCTCAATTTACTTCATCTGCTGTATTGGCGACAGATACACATGAAATTGCAACTGCGGCTGGTCGATTTCCTAGTGCGACACAAACTCAACGTTTTTCGTCATCATCATCACCATCAAGTTCCAATACTTTCGATGGACTTCAAGTGGTTGGTGATCTCGAAGCAAATATCTACAACTTGGACGGCAGTACAAATGTTAGTCCAAGCTATGCATCGTCTTTATCATCGAATTTCGTTAATGACAGTGCTTTATCTGAGAGCGTTGGTATTGGTAGCAATCGATTAGACACAGCTACAGCTAGATTTGCTGTTGCTGACACTAATCGTGACGGACGATTAAATCGAACGGAATTTCAACGATATCTTCAAGGTGGAATTTAAAAACAATGCCTTTTCCCTTAATTAGAGACGTATCTTTTTTTTAAGATAAAAGATAATGAAATTAAACCATATATAGACACTACAGTAAAATAGATCCAAAATTTTTTAAGTAGCAATTATTCCGCTGTCAGTTGACTGACGTTTTCGTTCGTACCATATCGGTACTGTTGCCAAGCGTGCTAATTGGATTGCTTCATACCACAGTTTAACATAAAACGAAGAGATATTGTTGGCATCCATCTTACTGTTATTAATATAATCATTTTCGATCGTCATAAGTTGATGATTTGGTCTTATAGCAAATCTGTACATTTTCTCATTGTAATTCAATATCAATGTGCATGTTTCCTCATTCTTTGACATCTCACAAAGTTCAATGAGATTGATTGAAAATTCTTCGACTTGATCTAATTTTGCACCATAGATATATAGATAATGATCATCTTGTAAATCAATCCAAACAATAACATTTGTTGCCAAATTTTCAAAATCGCCGAAAAGAATCGTTCGATTGGGATCACGAAGTCGTTTTGTTGTCGAAACGATATTTTTCGTTGTGCCAGTCGCATAAGTAAAACATTTATCGCACACGCGTGTCGGACCTTTGCTAGCACAATATTTCAAAACGAGTTTCTTGGTCGAACAGGATGTACAAATACATCGTCCACATGAACGACAATGGTGACGGGAAGGTATCAATGTAGAGCCGAAACGATTGTGACAGATTTGACAACGTTTTACGTCATTATCATTCACCCAAACAGGCGCACACATACCGAACTCTTCTGGATTAGAAGAATGAGAAGCTAATTCGAAGAGTCAAACAATGATACTTAAGTTGTTCAAAAACGATTTAGATTTTACCTGGACACATCCGACTTGTTTTGAGCAGTTTTTCGCTTGCTTTTGTTATGTTACCGATCCATTTTTGTCTGTCATGCTCTTTATCGGCGAGAAAGTCATAACATTTTTCGATAGCTTTCACCCGAAAAGGATAGATGGTCACATTCGAGTGCCGTTGATTGATAAGACTCAATGTATTTGACTCTACTTGTTCAGGTTCCAGAATATCAATTGTTAAGTTTTCCAGTGATAAATGTCGTTTGAATTCAAGTTTCTCGCCTGATTCTTCGCAAACAAGCAAACATTTCGAGAATAGAAGTAGATAGCATTGGTCAACACCTATTCGCCGACGTGGGGATCGTCGTTTCAGTACACCGTGCCAAAGAAGGCGTTGTTGTTTGAAGTAATCGAGTTTACTATCGAATCGGGCTTTTAGTTTCTTTATCTGTCTTTCGGATATTGTTAGTTCATCTTCACACCGCACGGCAATCTGTCGAAGTTCATCGCGTATAGAAGATGTATGTTCATACACCGCAGAACTTGTATTTAGACGTTTCAAATAATTGTCCATGAGTAGAATATACCTAAAATAAAGTGTTCATATGTTTCAACCTTGAAATGTGCGATTTAAAAACAAGTTTCAATATCACTAATGACTCACCCCAATAAACGTTGATTAGCACAATTTAGTTCAGTAAGTGGGTATAAATTTCCCAGATACACTTGACATTGTAGCATTGCTCGATTTAAGAACGAACCAGGTTTACATAAATCCTCTAGTTTTCGCTGATTTTCATCGTATGTTAAATAGTATGTCTTATATAAACTTTCAATTGTTTGGTAATTGTGCTCTAGAACGGACCATAGATAATCCGTATAATTACTCGATCTACATCGTTCAAAATGGGGTAGAATGACATGAAGATGAAACTTGTATATTTGTTTTAATATAATCTTCAATGGTCTGTATACATTCTTGAATCGATGTAGGAATGTCTTTTCTTTCACACAGATTTCTTGAATTTTCCTCGGAACAACGTAACAGAGAACATGAAGTTTTTCAATATAAGTTCGTTCAGTTGCATATACTTCATTATAACGTTCTGCAGGAATGATTTCCTAGATGAATACCATAATACATGTTTAGCGATGGTGATAAAGAGTAACACGAACCTTTTCTCTCATACAATCTTCATCTTCGTCACAGGAAGACAGATCCGAAGGATCATCGATTGAACTCGATGATATACCAAAATCGTCATTGGTATTATCCCCGTGAGAAGGTACATATGAACACTGTGATTCGGTCTGGATTGGATTCAAGCTATCGGAGAGATGACCATCCGGAGAATCCTTGAAAATAAAACAAAATTTTGATAGAACGGCTTTGTAATCAATAATTATACTTACAGGACTCTTAATTGTTCGCGTATCGGACTCTACTGAACATTGTTTCATCAACGACGTTAGTGAAGTTCTACGCTCTGCTGTTTGAGTTACTAACTTTTTAGGTAAATCTAATATTCGTGTAAAAGGTGAATTGGGAACTATAGGCTTTGGCTTAATTCTCTGGGATTGAACTAAAATCAACGAGACTTGTGCAATTTTCCAATCTTGGGATCGATAAAAACATACTGTCTTGCATAGAATTTCGTTTTTCAATTTGTTCGATCAATCCAGCGACATCAACTGTCTCTTTTCTCATTGCTATAGATTCGTTAGAAGATGCTGAAGACAGTGTTCGGTTGCGTTTGACCACTCTTTGCAGTACTGGCTCATACTTAGTTTCAGTTTGTATTCGCATAGTTTGCATTGTTCGATATCGACTGTAAGTTACCGGTGGTGGATGATTACGATCTTCACTGTAGTGTTTGTCAGACATATTCTTCTTGAATATTGTTGTGCGAAGAGAAACAAGAGAATGAAATGACGTGAGTATAAAAGTACACTTTGTATTCTCTGAGAAATTTTTGCTATATAGTAATAATTTTAATAGATAAGTGTTTTTGGATGACACATTGCGAGAGAATGAAATGACAAATACATGATTTCAGGTGTACCATAATGCCGTTATCTACTCCTATGCGAATTTTATCAGTTATTTCGAGAAAAAGAATTTTCATTTTTTTTTTACTTCGCGAAACGAAAAAGAAATGAGCCGACGTCAAAAGATAATATTTAAACAAAGAAATTAATATTTATATTAAAACCTAGAAATATCAGTGTACACACATATAAAAGCAAACATTTTCTGACCCTTGACGTGAAAATATTTTCAAAACAGTTTTTTCGTCACTCTTCGTATTACGAAGATATTGAAGATGAATTTTCGTTTGTTAGTAAATTTATCGTTGTTTGAATACCATTAAAATTCAAATCATGTTTAACTCGTTGCTGTTCTTGTTGATGATTCTGAATTTGTCGGGTATATTGGCCAGTTTCTTTGACACGTTCGAGTAGGCGTACTGAAAAGAGACAAGAATTGAAAATATATGAGAAAAATATCTTTGTTTTACCTTGCAATTCAATGGCCGCATTTTGTCGTTTTAGTTCATCGATACTCGTTTGATTAGATTGGTTTTTGCTCTTTATAGTACGAATGTATTCCGTTGCTGATTTGAGAACATGAGCACGAGATGCCTGAAATAATTTGAATAGGATTCAAAAGCTCAGTCTGTGTGAATCGTCTGACACACGGACAATTCGTCGCCTATGTAGACTATAGTGAATACGAAGACTACACTTTCGTCAATGATTCCTTTGGTAATGCGAAATGAAACCTAGTATTCTTATGATATTTCTAACAAAAAATATGAACAAATTTGAAAAGGTATAAGATACGATATTATCGAAGTGACAAAAAGAAAACATTACTTTATCGAGTATCAAGCAAAGTTCGATCTTCATTGACTTATTAAATGGTTGTCAGTATCAATGATCACATAAAAGTTCAACTAGTCTTTGATTCTGAGAAACTAATCCACGAACACGTTCATGGATTTTTTAATAGTTTATTTACTAAATATTCATTTTGTTTTAAAATGTGTTGACTCTTGTTAATGATACTCGAGAAGTTTTTCTTACGAAATCGCAATCAACTGTCAATTATCATTTTCCTGATAGACCATCGTTCTAGCAAGTATTACTACTCTGTTATATTAGAATACTGATAGTTGTCTTTACTGTCTATTAAGTGTTGGAAATTTCTTACGTAGAGCGCCTTTTGTCAAAAACTAATCGTAAACACTATACTACTCGACGGCGTACAGGCTTCCTTGACTTAATACATGCTAAACTTGTCACATCGGGTTTTTTTAATTGTTCACGGTCTAGAGATGTGCACGGATCAAAATGTTCTGTTTTAGATCCGAACCTATTAGCAATACGTTGCGCTTCCTAAGAATGTGAAAAAAGTATTTTTCGATGCAGAATTCTTCGGTCTACAGGTTTTAGCTACCTCCAATGTTAAAATAAAGTATACCACCGCGTAGATCAAAGAATTGTGTATCGAAAAACATTGTTCTCACATTTTTACCAAGTACAATGTATTACTGACATGTTCGTGTTTAGAACAAAACATTTTGCTCCGTGCACATTTCTGTTACGAACATAGTTGTTGCCTTGAGATCTATGCCACTCTTCATCGACCTGTATATTTTCGTAATCTTGTTACAATTAATTAATTCAGCGATGAATTGTCCGTCCGCGGAATCGAATCATTTTCAGAGAACATTACCTTTTCTCCTTTAAGTGATGGGATTACATCACGTAGATCACCGAAACTGCCTTTGATATGATCACGTCGCTTTCTTTCTAAAGCGTTATGATGTGCTCGTCTTTCAGCTTGATTCGGTCCGTTGTTTCGCGCATGCATTGCCATTTCAATATCTTCACTATCCATGTCATCGACGCCTATGTGAGTACCGTTCAAATGATCCTGAAACTGATCAAGATCCAAATCTAGAGACATGCTATCTAGAAAACAAGTAACAAAGTAAACAAAACGATAGGAAAGCGACAAGAAAAAGTCAAGCTAATCTTCATTTTCATCATCGAGAATAATTTCAACATTGGAAATAAAACTCTAAAACAAAAGGAGATATGAATAAATTTTTCTTAATGATTTGATGGCTATCATTTGCCATCACTACACACGTATCTCAAGACGTAACAGTGTTCAGTAGTGTAGAACGATTAGTGTCCTTCACATTAAGAGCACAGAAAAAAATTATGGCAAAGGAAGAAAATCAACAACGATGTAGTACTCATACCGGTTTTATATCTGATCTATTTTCACGTTCTTGTTGCTTTTGTTCGAAATTATGGAGTCGTTCTTCGACGAGTGCCTTGAAACAGACACGAAATATTCGATTTCACATTTTACATGATATTCAAATTCGCGTCTTACTTTAGCTGCTGCAATTTGTTCACTGGTACCCGATATAATTAACCGTGAAAAGTTCTTCTTTTCGACGTTATCAATGATTTTCTTGTCCATATTAAGACGTGCTTTCGAAGTATCCCGAATATCTCTGATGGTCGCACCATTTCGTCCAATCAAATAGCCACAAGCATTTTCCGGTATGAACATTTCGATCTGTTCATACTGTGGTAAATCAGCAATCATTCGACGTATTTCCACTTCGGCTTCATAGACATGATGTTGTTGACCTCGAATGATTAAGATTCGATAGTTTTCATCCAAACTTTTTTCATCTTCTTTAGCAAATACACAACGAACAGAAAACTGTTGTTGAAACTGAAACAAACGAAAGAAGTGTTATCTATCGTAACTCAACTTTTTCTTACGCGTTTTATCACTTCACCACCTTTACCAATTATACTTCCAACGCAATAGACAGGAACTCGTACTTCAAGTACAAGATATTCTGAACGATTTGAACGAATCTGTCCTTCTGAAATCCAAGCACACGTGCGTAAATATTTTTAACGAAAATAACACGACTGACTTTTCTGATTACTGTAATACCAAATGATACTACCAATAATAATACAACTGCTAGGCACTAATAGACCGTAGAGAAGGCGACGATCAACAGAAGCGAACATTTTTTACTACACGAGATGGTTTTTAATGCGATGAGTCATATGCTCAATTACACAACCGATTAGCGACATCTAAACATTTGTTATATTTATGATAGTTATTATGTAAAAGCTGTTTTTATATTCATTTAAAAGGCTTTTGTTATTATTAGATAAAAATTTCGTTTATAAAATCATCCGAGAAATCGATCAATCATGGGGTAGCGTTTTTAGTTCCACCCATCCTACCTTGAATGTTATAAAAATCGTTTTAACGAAGCTTCAAGCACGATCTAATGCAAGGATAAGAGTTAATTAACAATGAATGTTGTTATCACGAACAAAAATGACCAACAAAAGCTTTGATTCATAAATTGTATAGATTACCAATGCAATTCGATGGTCATATATCTAACTTGTAGGTCATTGTTTCAAGAAGATATATTAAGAACATTATAAATATTTGTATTGGTCTCAGCAGACCTTCAAATCAAACATTGTTTACTTGTATTGTTCTACCAATACTATAGACAGTTGTGCTTAATGTTACTCATACTCATTTACAATAACCATAGGAGGTTATGTGAGTTATTTGGATATATCTAATTGTAATACACTTTTATAGAAATGATTTAAATCTTTACTGTGACGGAACGAACTCGGTTATACGATTTAGAATGTTATATAACCATCGTTAAATTATATTTATTACACATGGTTAACGTTTGCATCCAACCTTCTTCTCGACATATCCCATAAACGATTTTTTGACGTTTATATTAGTATATTTCTGACAACTACTTCTGTTTGGTATTAATATGTTTAATGCCTCATCGAAAAAATCGAGCGACGCTTTATCGTTCAGAAATAATCGTTTTATATTAGCGTTCGGAAAATCTATTCATATGACAATAAACATTGTTCCTGCCGGATTAGCGCGAACAAGTTGACCCGCGGTCCAAATAATTGTTCTTATATTCTCTACTGAATTGATATTTATGCACGAAAATCAAATCGGACAGAAAATTTTGTTTTCCATGCGAGAAACAATTTAGAGAAATCTATTTAATACGCAAATCTAGCACGATTTCTTCGATCGAGAAAAACAAAATGTTGTTTACGAGAAGTATTGATACGATTAGAGTTCACACATTGTCTTACATATTTACAACTCTACACTATTTCAAGAAAAATCAAACACAGACATCGTCATGATTAACTTTGCTTCTTACGATTACTTTTTAGCGTGCCGAGGTTACCCTGAAACCAATGCTATAGTTTGTCAATCTGACAATTATGCATTCTCTCTTGAAATATTGATAGAGTGCAATCTAAGTGACATCTAATAACAATAAGAACTTGTCACGAGATCGAGGGTGTATGTTCGGTCTTTACATAGTCAGATTCTACTTGATAAACTTCGAATATATCTTCTATATCTTGTCGGACATCTAATTGAAATACTTTCTTTGCAAAGACTTGATCTGTGTTAGTTCAGACTGTTGATACATCTCGGTCGTAGTACCTTGCAATGTCGATTATATTGGTCGAATAACAAGATAAGCATCGATCTGTATAGCATATGAAAAGGAAATAAACAAATGTGATAATGAAATTTTAAGTGCAGTGAAGATGTAACAATGATCTATTAATTAAATTACACAGTTTTTGATGCGTTGTTGTTGTTGTTATTTTTCTCGGTAGGAATTCATCATTAATCTTTTCTTCTTCGTCCTGTTCTGGATTTGATATGTTCGGTGAATGTTATTTTGATCTAATAAAATGTATGCCGAGTGTTTTTCGTATTGATGCCCACACATTGACAAGCAACATATTGACGATGTTTGACAAATGTCATTATGCTGGAAAGTCACTCAGTCAGAGTGATCATAACATTTCTCAATTACTTCTCTTTTGTTTCTCGAACTTTTCGATTATCTCGTTTTACATAATGTCAAACTGATGTGCTTATATATGATGAGATAATTGCTAATATCAAGAATATTATCACTATTGTTTATTCATCCAGTTCACCACCCCGTTCGGATTGATTTATATATGCATCGATGAGAGAATTACGGCTACAATCAGTTCATTTTGTTCTCTATGTGAAAAAAAGTTTTTCCGAATAGATTATTGAATGATTTTCTTTGACCTTCGACAAGAAGAACGCCTGTTGACATTCATACTTGTATTTGCATAAGTTTTCATTTAAATACAGAATAGACTCATCCATCAGTGTACGACATATATATTTATGTATTCAAATAAATGATTATTTGTATTGATTAAGAACTTAAAATTTATTATATGTTTCATTAAAAACAAAACGAACTAATAGAATGACTTAGTCCTGAAATATGGATGAATCGTTAAATGAACATGCGATATGTCGTTAGGTTTGTTATATACGTACGCCCACATCCAATCTTTCGTATGCATCAAGTCAAGGAAAAACTTATACACCAGAAAAAAAGCATATATGGGAAAAAAAACGAGTAATAACCTTTTCTTGTTTCGTTGTCTATTGTGGTACTTCATTATCTTTGGATACTTGTATCGTTTCATGTATAACTATGCCTTCTTTTTTTGTCTCTCTACTATTCTCATTCATCTGTACAAGTATCTCCAATGATACATATGTATATACACATTCGTCAACTGTTGATGTCACAAAGGGGATGGCTATATAATCGTGTATACGGGCACTAATATCTCCTCTTTATTCTTTTTGTCGTTCTTGTTCTTCCTAGCTTGCTTTTTTTTCATTATTTGCAACAGATTGTACATTCCTGAAAACGAACCAAATGGTAGATGTAGAATATGATCATAATGTATGAAATCATCTGCCTCCCATATCAAACATAGTCAACAATAGAAAATCTTTGTAACATGTAAGTGTTATTAATGTGAATCTACACAAAGTACATAGAAAAAAAAGTTCTCCCTAAGTATACTTGAAAGTTTTTAAGCTCTTCATTTCAGTTGAAGATGACACAAATTTGATTTGATGCTTTCTATATTACTTAGACGACAACCTACCCTAAGAAAAGTGATCGATTAGAAGAATGATGGCAGAGTGCATGCCGAGGAATATATATATACATATATGTTGCGCTGTCAATGCCTATCAGATATGTAAAGATTGCTGTGGTTAATTGAAAGAAATGTTACAGTATTCGAAGATGTATCGTTGTGATAATCACAAAGGACAAAGCGACTTTCTCTTTTTCTTCTTCTTCTTCTTCTCACGTTGTACTAGTTCTGTTTCTATTTTAATAATCGTAATTTTCCGTTGTTTGACACAATCGGGCAGTGTTTCTTCTGGATTACATTCCAGTCGTTTTGTCCTGCAAGCAAATAACAAAGGAAATGAAATTTTATGACATTGATTTGATTTCCTGTGATAATGCAAAACTAAAAGAGAGGACAAAAACGAGAATCAGCAGGGAAAATGAAGAGTAGGCGTCTAGCAGGTAATTGGTTTCGCTTTAGAAATGAAACAAATGACATAAATAGAATGCATTTCGTTACTCTACTTCATTTCCTGTTTTCTAAATATCATTTAACTAAATAAATGATTGTCACAGGTTATTTTATCTTGCCAATCAATCACTCATCCATCTACTGAACACTAAACTTTTCTCGTTCTATAATCCCGTCTTTTTTCTCTCTGC